TTTGCACACTATATAAATTTTACTGTTAGTGGAAGAAAACGTAAACCACCAATTCCGGCTATAGTTTTCAAATACACTGACCGTTTTTGTAAACTTTGAAAATTCGTACTAATGAGACACATCTCGCCCGCCTGAGTCGGTATACTTACTTTTAAATTAATTTCAATAAGTAATTCGTTAATGAAAATCAAGTACATTCTTTGACGTTAAATCATCAACCATATATTACAATGTACATTGTTATACATTTCTTTAAGAATAATCCATATTTTGCCTCTAGACTCTATCATAGACAGAAGACCTTCATCCCACAAAGTCTCAAACCAGTGTTTTGAATAGTAATCTATGACACTGCCGTTGATGTGTACAGATATTTTCTGTCAATTTCCTTTGCTTACCTGACATTTTTGTGCCAAAGCAAGTAAGACCTAGAGCGAATATTTATTATCTTGTGTTAATCTCATACATTATGTCTGTCTGTCTGTTTGTGACGATGAGTGTAACCAAATGCAGCCAATTCTGACCCCATTTTGAAGACAATCTTTCCGAAGAAGAAATACTTCCTAACCATACTTCATTACTATGAAAATTCTTCAAGGAATTTCAGGACATCCTAGCCGATGCCTTCCTCCTGTTCCTTGAGAAAAATTTATACAAGCCGTTTTTGAGGAGATATCAGCTGAGGAAAATCTCGACTTGAGGAAATCTCAAGTTGAGATATTTTATACAAGTGGGGCCAGGTCTTATATTCCTGGTACCTGTTCACGGCCCTGTAAGTTTTCCCCCGCGTTTCACCGAGTCTGATTATATATAGGCCATTCTCGACACTCCGGTGGTTACGATCAGTTTCGATCACTTCACCCCTGGAACATGCCACAGACCGGAACATGCCACAGACTGATATGCTCCTTCTGTAGATTACAAAGGAGCGACATCCAACTTCAGAGCTATATACCGTGTGCATCAACGGATCAAATTAGCCTTTTCGGCTTATCCACAAGGTATCGCACATTGAATCTTCCGGGGTGCAAAGAGCGAAGGTGATCATAACTCCTTCAGTTTCGAGGAAGTATATAGTTATTTTTTCAACTGTTTTTTTAAATTTTTGTCTTGGTGCTTGGAATTAATACACATATGTACAGGAATGACAAAATACTTTTCTGAGTTTCAGCGTTGAAAGAAGTCTGATTTTTTTTAAAAAGAAAATTGTAATCTTTTAAATTAATACTTCAAGTGTTCCCTGTCAAAATACACTAGCAACACTTGACTTCAATTCAATAGTCACCATGACTCTGCCTTGGTGTACAGAGACGTTATATCGGGGTGGTTACAATCATAATGATTCAATATGCAGACTACAAGCTCCAAGGGTGTTGGGGGATTCCCCTTTGTAAAAACCCTCGTGTGCAGTCGCAAGGGTGGTTGGCAAGTACAGGGTGAACAAAAAAAGCGTTTTTATGTAAACTGTGACTATCTTACAGCGACAACACGACGTGAACATATTATTTTGAATGAAATACCTATTTGGACAATATACATCGGATTTAATCGGCTGCATGTACCATTAAAAAGCAAAGGTAAGCAGCTGTCTTTCCGTCTGTGGTTCTCTGTACACACTGCATAGAACAAGATACTTTATAACTTGTATTTGATTTAACGAAATAGAATAGCTATTAAAGTCTAAAATAATACTTTTATCACGAGGAGACATTTCATGGGGTACTTCATTGTTGTATTGCTTCTAATACGATTACGTGTACATATCATGCGTGCGGTTTTAATAGGTCGATTGGCAGCCTATTACGCACAACTGAAAAATGTAAGACATTTCACATAAACACTTGTTTCAGGAGAATAACATTTTTCTTGTTTTGATGAAATACAGTAAAAATGTGCTGAACAGTTTCAGATCTATAGTTGTATGCGGTGTACTTTATATAAGGGTTTACCTTGGTTCACTGCCCAGGTATGTGCAAGTTTACACCCTTTCTCAGAACTGGAGGCCTACTGGTATTTCGTAATAGCTGTATATTCTATATATATATATAGAACAGAAGCAACTCGTCAATGTCCACTTTGCTCAGTGTGTGTACACATGAGGGTTAGGGTTATGTGTGTTCGGGAGCCAGGGGTGGCAAACATGGTCTTTATATATATAACATTTATGTAGAAAATATAGACAAGGAGGAGACCAGGTACATGTGGTAGTGTTGTCAATATATAAATATCAAGGAGCTAGAGTAGGGAGATAAGGGGAGATAATCAAGGTAAATATGGTAGTGTGGTCATTATAAAGGTAACATTGACATGAAGTAGACAGATCAGGAGATATGATCCAGGTAAATATATCAGTTTGATCAATATAACAATAATATTGATGTAGATTTGAGAGATCATGGGAGATAACCAAAGTAAATGTTTTAGTGTGGTTAATCTGTAGATAACACAAGGGGAGATAATCGGAATAAATGTGGCAGTTCAGTCAATATAACACTGACATAGAGTAGAGATCAGGGGAGATAAGCAAAGTTAATGTTTTAGTGTGGTTAATCTGTAGATAACACAAGGGGAGATAATCGGAATAAATGTGGCAGTTCAGTCAATATAACACTGACATAGAGTAGAGATCAGGGGAGATAAGCAAAGTTAATGTTTTAGTGTGGTTAATCTGTAGATAACATGGGGGAGTGGCAGTTCAGTCAAAATAACAAATGTGGTAGTTAGCAAGTTAATGTTTTAGAGTGGTTAATCTGTAGATAACATAGGGGGAGATAATCAGAATAAATGTGGTAGTTCAGTCAATATAACACTGACATAGAGTAGAGATCAGGGGAGATAAGGCAAATATAGAAATATGGTCAATATAACACTGTCATAGAGTAGAGATCAGGGGAGATAAGCAAAGTTAATGTTTTAGTGTGGTTAATCTGTAGATAACATGGGGGAGATAATCAGAATAAATGTGGTAGTTCAGTCAATATAACACTGACATAGAGTAGAGATCAGGGGAGATAAGGCAAATATAGAAGTATGGTCAATATAACACTGACATAGAGTAGAGATCAGGGGAGATAAGGCAGATATAGAAGTATGGTCAATATAACACTGACATAGAGTAGAGATCAGGGGAGATAAGGCAAATATAGAAATATGGTCAATATAACACTGACATAGAGTAGAGACCAGGGGAGATAATTATAATAAATGTGGTAGTTCAGTCGATGTAACACTGACATAGAGTAGAGATTAGGGGAGATAAGGCAAATATAGAAGTATGGTCAATGTAACACTGACATAGAGTAGAGATCAGGGGAGATAAGGCAAATATAGAAATATGGTCAATTAAACACTGACATAGAGAAGAGATCAGGGGAGATAAGGCAAATATAGAAGTATGGTCAATATAATACTGACATAAAGTAGAGATCATGGGGAGATAATTATAATAAATGTGGTAGTTCAGTCAATGTAACACTGACATAGAGTAGAGATCAGGGGGAGATAATTATAATAAATGTGGTAGTTCAGTCAATGTAACACTGACATAGAGTAGAGATCAGGGGGAGATAATTATAATAAATGTGGTAGTTCAGTCAATATAACACTGAGGCAGATTAGAGATCATAGGGAGGTAATCTAGAAAAGTGAGGTAATGTGGTTAATATTTACATGTAACACAGAGGTAGAGTAAGTAGATGGTAGCGTGGTCTATATATCCGACATAATACCATGTCCTAGATTTTTCTATTGTTCCTGATCTGTTTATTACCCTTATGTGCAATTTTGCAGAATTTTTTTATGCATCAGTGTTTTCTTCCAAATGTAGGAATATATATATAGAAATTGGTTCAATCTACTATCTGCTTTATATTATCTGTTTTGTGTATTTTTTGATGTTGTTAAGATTACTGATGTTGCAGAAAAATAAGATCTTCACTGTTAAATGTGTTTACACAGCACTCTCCAAATGTTGTCTAAAAGTGACGAGGCTGTGTGGGTAGTTTTAGTTATAGTATAAATGTTGATTTGTACTTTTTGATTTGTTCTGTTGGCATTATGCCAACTTCATAACCACATGTCATGGTACCTGTAAGTACGTACTATACCTGTATTTATGAGAACATGCTCCAGTACCCTAGAACAGGATATCAAGATTGATATTACATAACAAAAGGACATACCTATACCTTATCATTGTTGTACTGAAAATTAAGGCTATTGCTGGTAAGCATTCAAGTGTGACAGTTTTAAAGAATTTATAGAGCATCAAACTTTTCTGTGTCCTGTAGTTAGTAATCATTTAAGTTACACAGTTTTCTGCAACAGTTTTTTCCTGTTTCGCTATGTAATAGACGCTTTACATATCATTGATATATGCATCAGTTGTAATGCTTTTATTTAAAAAATAAAAATATCAAGTTTCTTATTGCATGTTAGACTGAGGTAAGATATACAGTCTATATCGGTATGTGATTCAGGTGAAAATGTGGTTTGCCTGCTAACAATCATGACTATGACCATCAGACTGTTCATTGCCTAATTTTATATGTGCTTCTATATACATGACACAGTGGCAACTCGCTCGCCTTTCACCATGGCGTCCAGGGTTAAGTTTCCCAAACAAAAAAGTTTGGGGTTACCTGCTCATCCATGTAGGTTTTCTGTGGATATGTTGTTTTCCTCCCTTAGTAAGATAATTTAAGTTGGAAAAAGGTCATTGTTGTAAAATAAATAAGATGTTTATGATCTTATTAGAATTGTTGTGTTAGTATCTGTTTACTAACTTTATATAAAATTTCATAGATACATACATATATATAGGTTGTCAGCAATATTTCGTTGTCTACATATCATTAGCTTCAAATATTTCTGATTCCCAGCACAATTTTAAGAATGATTTTGTTCCTTTTTGTTTAGAATTTATCTTAATCATATACTTTTGCAAATAGAAATTTTCTGGTTTTTGTTTTTATTCAATCTTGTGACTACATAATCAGCATTCAGACTACATTATTCAGTCCTGTGACTACATTATTCAGTCCTGTGGCTACATTATCCAGCTTTGTTACTATATTATTCAGTCCTGTGACTACATTATTCAGTCTTGAGACATTATCCAGCTTTGTTACTCTATTATTCAGTCGTGAGACATTATCCAGCTTTGTTACTACATTATTCAGTCCTGTGGCTACATTATTCAGTCTTGAGACAACATTATCCAGCTTTGTTACTACATTATTCAGTCCTGTGGCTACATTATTCAGTCTTGAGACAACATTATCCAGCTTTGTTACTACATTATTCAGTCCTGTGGCTACATTATTCAGTCTTGAGACAACATTATCCAGCTTTGTTACTACATTATTCAGTCCTGTGGCTACATTATTCAGTCTTGAGACAACATTATCCAGCTTTGTTACTACATTATTCAGTCCTGTGGCTACATTATTCAGTCTTGAGACAACATTATCCAGCTTTGTTACTACATTATTCAGTCTTGAGACAACATTATCCAGCTTTGTTACTACATTATTCAGTCCTGTGACTACATTATCCAGCTTTGTTACTACATTATTCAGTCTTGAGACAACATTATCCAGCTTTGTTACTACATTATTCAGTCCTGTGGCTACATTATTCAGTCTTGAGACAACATTATCCAGCTTTGTTACTACATTATTCAGTCCTATGACTACATTATCCAGCTTTGTTACTACATTATTCAGTCCTGTGACTACATTATCCAGCTTTGTTACTACATTATTCAGTCTTGAGACAACATTATCCAGCTTTGTTACTACATTATTCAGTCTTGAGACAACATTATCCAGCTTTGTTACTACATTATTCAGTCCTGTGGCTACATTATTCAGTCTTAAGACAACATTATCCAGCTTTGTTACTACATTATTCAGTCCTGTGACTACATTATCCAGCTTTGTTACTACATTATTCAGTCTTGAGACAACATTATCCAGCTTTGTTACTACATTATTCAGTCCTGTGACTACATTATCCAGCTTTGTTACTACATTATTCAGTCTTGAGACAACATTATCCAGATTTGTTACTACATTATTCAGTCTTGAGACAACATTATCCAGCTTTGTTATTACATTATTCATTCCTGTGGCTACATTATTCAGTCTTGAGACAACATTATCCAGCTTTGTTACTACATTATTCAGTCTTGAGACAACATTATCCAGCTTTGTTACTAAATTATTCAGTCCTGTGACTACATTATCCAGCTTTGTTACTACATTATTCAGTCTTGAGACAACATTATCCAGCTTTGTTACTACATTATTCAGTCCTGTGACTACATTATCCAGCTTTGTTACTACATTATTCAGTCTTGAGACAACATTATCCAGCTTTGTTACTACATTATTCAGTCCTGTGACTACATTATCCAGCTTTGTTACTACATTATTCAGTCTTGAGACAACATTATCCAGCTTTGTTACTACATTATTCAGTCCTGTGACTACATTATTCAGTCTTGAGACAACATTATCCAGCTTTGTTACTACATTATTCAGTCCTGTGACTACATTATTCAGCCTTGTGAATTTATTTTTAACCTTGTGACTTTATCATGTAGACTTGTGATTACTTTTATCAACCCTGTGGCTACATTATTCAATCCTAATTGAGCCTAATGTTTAACTAAGATTAGGCTAAAAATATTTTTTATGTGCCACTGAAGTGTCGATCAATCATGTTATAAATGAAATATTACATTGTATAAACAAAATGAAAAAAAATAAATATTAAAATCATCACAGAAGATGAAAGTAATGAAAATAAAAAAAAATCTTTTTGCAATTTTACTGGAGTTCTTGTCAACTAGAGGTGGCTTGCTACATAAAAGTCATGGTTACAAAACACTGCTTCGTATGTACACAGCATACGTGCAGCCATTGTCTGTTGTTATCACGGGTAGGCACTGAATGAGGTTACTGGAGCTTGCTTTAGGTGTATAGCCGCAGTAAGTGACACAACTAAACAGACTATACCAGTCTACCTGTCAGCCATTTTTAATTATGGAAAATACTTTTACTGACTTATAAAAACACTTGCATTAGGATGGTTAATGCTTACATGTAACAGAATGGTATGGTCACCACACCTGGTACAGTAAAGGTAAGTACAGTCACCACACCTGGTAAAATAAAGGTAGGTATATTCACCAAAACTGGTACGGTAAATGTAGTCGCCACTACCGGTACATTAAAGGTAGTCACCAGTACTGGTACAGTAAAGGTAGTCGCCACTACTGGCACAGTAAAGGTAGTCGCCACTACTGGTACATTAAAGGTAGTCACCACTACTGGTACAGTAAAGGTAGTCGCCACTACTGGTACAGTAAAGGTGGTCGCTACTACTGGTACAGTAAAGGTAGTCGCCACTACTGGTACAGTAAAAGTAGTCGCCACTACTGGTACAGTAAAGGTAGTCACCACTACTGGTACAGTAAGTGTAGTCGCCACTAGTGGTACAGTAAGTGTAGTCACCACTACTGGTACAGTAAGTGTAGTCACCACTACTGGTACAGTAAGTGTAGTCACCACTACTGGTACAGTAAGTGTAGTCACCACTACTGGTACAGTAAGTGTAGTCACCACTACTGGTACAGTAAAGGTAGTCACCACTACTGGTACAGTAAGTGTAGTCACCAATACTGGTACAGTAAAGGTAGTCACCACTACTGGTACAGTAAGTGTAGTCACCACTACTGGTACAGTAAGTGTAGTCACCACTACTGGTACAGTAAGTGTAGTCACCACTACTGGTACAGTAAAGGTAGTCGCCACTACTGGTACAGTAAAGGTAGTCACCACTACTGGTACAGTAAGTGTAGTCGCCACTACTGGTACAGTAAAAGTAGTCGCCACTACTGGTACAGTAAAGGTAGTCACCACTACTGGTACAGTAAGTGTAGTCACCACTACTGGTACAGTAAGTGTAGTCACCACTACTGGTACAGTAAGTGTAGTCACCACTACTGGTACAGTAAGTGTAGTCACCACTACTGGTACAGTAAGTGTAGTCACCACTACTGGTACAGTAAAGGTAGTCACCACTACTGGTACAGTAAGTGTAGTCACCACTACTGGTACAGTAAAGGTAGTCACTACTACTGGTACAGTAAAGGTAGTCACCAGTACTGGTACAGTAAGTGTAGTCACCACCACTGGTACAGTAAGTGTAGTCATCACTACTGGTACAGTAAGTGTAGTCACCACTACTGGTACAGTAAAGGTAGTCGCCACTACTGGTACAGTAAAGGTAGTCACCACTACTGGCACAGTAAGTGTAGTCACCACTACTGGCACAGTAAGTGTAGTCACCACTACTGGTACAGTAAGTGTAGTCACCACTACTGGTACAGTTAGTGTAGTCACTACTACTGGTACAGTAAAGGTAGTCACCAGTACTGGTACAGTAAGTGTAGTCACCACTACTGGTACAGTAAGTGTAGTCATCACTACTGGTACAGTAAGTGTAGTCACCACTACTGGTACAGTAAGTGTAGTCACTACTACTGGTACAGTAAAGGTAGTCACCACTACTGGTACAGTAAGGTTTTTCAACATTTTTGTGATAGGTTGAGGACAGAATTTTACTATGTGCTATTTGGGTTGTATTTGAAAACATACAAGTTGTTTCAGGAAATGACATGTAAAATAGTACACCACTAATGACAGTCCCAAATACAATAGTGATACCGTGTGGTAGCTAGTCAAATATTTATCTGATTTATTATTCAAATATTCATTTCCTTGCCAAGTTTACATTTATATAGTATATACAGGTAAATCGAAGTAGATTAGATAATTTTCTAGTGTGAGGATACCTTAAGCTTTACTAAATCAGATTTCACATGTTTGAGTTATGAGTTTGGTACCTAAGAAGTTGAAATGGTTTTATAAGGCCAACATTGCTTTTAAATGTGAAATGAAATGAAAAAACTTATGTTGCAAAGCCATTAAAATAAATTCTGTAGTATTCATGATAATGGAAAATTTAGGTAGATATTTGAATGATAGTGTACTGTATGTATGCAGGGCATTGGTAAGATTATACAATATTTCATTATCTGCATATCTATGATAATTATTGTAAGCACTGAAACAACAGGAGTATAACAAAAAAAAAAAAAATTCATGATGCATCTCAGAATTATTCATAAAATACTAGTTACTATTTATATATATTGCGTCATGGGTAAGGGAATTCCTTCACTGATATTCCCTTGTCAACGATGTTATCTGGCTTTACTTATGTCTGACCTAATTCTATACTTCTGAGGCTTTCATAGATTTACATCGAAAGTAAATATTTTGGTAAATTTTAATCCTGTCATTCATTGTTGCTAGTGTTTAAAATGACAAGTGACCTATAACTTTATTTAGCTGAGACAATGAATTACCTGTTCACATGCTCTACCATTGAGTTAATTTTACCTCCCTGCTGTAAAAAGATTTATTTGTAACTCACTGCTTTAGCAAAAAGTTACCTGTATCTCACTGCTGTAACAATGAGTGACCGCATAGCTGTAACAATGCTTGATCTGTATCTCACAGCTGTAACAATGTTTTACCTGTACCTTTCTGTTATAACAATGATTTACCTGTATCTCTCTGCTGTAACAATGAGTGACCTGTACCACACAGCTGTAACAATGTTTTACCTGTACCTCTCTGTTATAACAATGATTTACCTGTATCTCTCTGCTGTAACAATGAGTGACCTGTACCACACAGCTGTAACAGTGTTTTACCTGTACCTCTCCTCTCTGCTGTAACAATGAGTGACCTGTACCACACAGCTGTAACAGTATTTTACCTGTACCTCTCTGTTATAACAATGATTTACCTGTATCTCTCTGCTGTAACAATGAGTGACCTGTACCACACAGCTGTAACAGTGTTTTACCTGTACCTCTCTGTTATAACAATGTTTTACCTGTATCTCTCTGCTGTAACAATGAGTGACCTGTACCACACAGCTGTAACAGTGTTTTACCTGTACCTCTCTGCTGTAACAATGAGTGACCTGTACCACACAGCTGTAACAGTATTTTACCTGTACCTCTCTGTTATAACAATGATTTACCTGTATCTCTCTGCTGTAACAATGAGTGACCTGTACCACACTGCTGTAACAGTGTTTTACCTGTGCCTCTCTGCTGTAACAATGAGTGACCTGTACCACACAGCTGTAACAGTATTTTACCTGTACCTCTCTGCTGTAACAATGAGTGACCTGTACCACACAGCTGTAACAGTATTTTACCTGTACCTCTCTGTTATAACAATGATTTACCTGTATCTCTCTGCTGTAACAATGAGTGACCTGTACCACACAGCTGTAACAGTGTTTTACCTGTACCTCTCTGCTGTAACAATGAGTGACCTGTACCACACAGCTGTAACAGTATTTTACCTGTACCTCTCTGTTATAACAATGATTTACCTGTATCTCTCTGCTGTAACAATGAGTGACCTGTACCACACAGCTGTAACAGTGTTTTACCTGTACCTCTCTGCTAAGAGAAGGATTTACCTTTATCACACTGCTAAATGAGTGCCCAGAACCTCTCTGCTGTACCCTCCTGCTGTAACATTGATTTACATGTTCCTTCCTGCTGTAACATTGACAGGGTGGTCGGGTGGTGCAGTGGAAACACCTTTGCCTTTCACCCTCTGTCAATGAGTGACAGATTATGTGTACCAGGCTTCGATTCCTGTACCACACAGCTGTAACAGTATTTTACCTGTACCTCTCTGTTATAACAATGAATGGATGTGATTTACCTTTATCACAAAGGTATGGGGTCACCTGCCCGACCACGTAGGTTTTCCCCGGGTACTCACCACCGGGGTTTCCTCCCACACTAAGACCACTCGCGCGCTTCTATCCGAGCCAACAAGAGTGATTAATATAAGTTGAAAAAACTTGCTTCGCAATTGCTGTAAAATAAATAAACATTATAAACATTGATATTATCTAAAATTATTTATTGATTTATTTAACATTGATTTACCTGTACATCATTGCTGTAATGTTGCCTTTATCCTGTAACACTGGAGGTATATGTAAATATTACAGATAGTTGTCCTTTATCAGCTGAGAAAGGTAGTATGGTGAGAACAGATTATATAAATACAAGATAAGGTGATCAGTATAAGTCTACACTAAGATTGTCACTCACCTAGATTGTTAACAATGTTGAACTGATAATGGCCATGAGTTTGGTGCTGGAGAGTTGACACATTATTTAAAATAATGTCAACTTTAAACTGTTAGGTCTGCTGCACTGTAGTGATTGCCAGATTCTACAAAAACTGTTAGTATCCAGGTAACGATTATTTCTCAGGTCATTATGTTGTATCTACTGTGAATGGATGTTTGGGGTAATGTTGTCTACTGTGAATGGATGTTTGGGGTAATGTTGTCTACTGTGAATGGATGTTTGGGGTAATGTTGTCTACTGTGAGTGGATGTTTGGGGTAATGTTGTCTACTGTGAATGGATGTTTGGGGTAATGTTGTCTACTGTGAATGGATGTTTGGGGTAATGTTGTCTACTGTGAGTGGATGTTTGGGGTAATGTTGTCTACTGTGAATGGATGTTTGGGGTAATGTTGTCTACTGTGAATGGATGTTTGGGGTAATGTTGTCTACTGTGAATGGATGTTTGGGGTAATGTTGTCTACTGTGAGTGGATGTTTGGGGTAATGTTGTCTACTGTGAGTGGATGTTTGGGGTAATGTTGTCTACTGTGAGTGGATGTTTGGGGTAATGTTGTCTACTGTGAGTGGATGTTTGGGGTAATGTTGTCTACTGTGAGTGGATGTTTGGGGTAATGTTGTCTACTGTGAATGGATGTTTGGGGTAATGTTGTCTACTGTGAATGGATGTTTGGGGTAATGTTGTCTACTGTGAATGGATGTTTGGGGTAATGTTGTCTACTGTGAATGGATGTTTGGGGTAATGTTGTCTACTGTGAATGGATGTTTGGGGTAATGTTGTCTACTGTGAATGGATGTTTGGGGTAATGTTGTCTACTGTGAATGGATGTTTGGGGTAATGTTGTCTACTGTGAATGGATGTTTGGGGTAATGTTGTCTACTGTGATTGGATGTTTGGGGTAATGTTGTCTACTGTGAATGGATGTTTGGGGTAATGTTGTCTACTGTGAATGGATGTTTGGGGTAATGTTGTCTACTGTGAGTGGATGTTTGGGGTAATGTTGTCTACTGTGAGTGGATGTTTGGGGTAATGTTGTCTACTGTGAGTGTAATGACTGTGAATGGATGTTTGGGGTAATGTTGTCTACTGTGAATGGATGTTTGGGGTAATGTTGTCTACTGTGAGTGGATGTTTGGGGTAATGTTGTCTACTGTGAATGGATGTTTGGGGTAATGTTGTCTACTGTGAATGGATGTTTGGGGTAATGTTGTCTACTGTGAATGGATGTTTGGGGTAATGTTGTCTACTGTGATTGGATGTTTGGGGTAATGTTGTCTACTGTGAGTGGATGTTTGGGGTAATGTTGTCTACTGTGAGTGGATGTTTGGGGTAATGTTGTCTACTGTGAGTGGATGTTTGGGGTAATGTTGTCTACTGTGAATGGATGTTTGGGGTAATGTTGTCTACTGTGAATGGATGTTTGGGGTAATGTTGTCTACTGTGAATGGATGTTTGGGGTAATGTTGTCTACTGTGAATGGATGTTTGGGGTAATGTTGTCTACTGTGAATGGATGTTTGGGGTAATGTTGTCTACTGTGAATGGATGTTTGGGGTAATGTTGTCTACTGTGAATGGATGTGTGAATTGGGGTAATGTTCTACTGTGAATGGATGTTTGGGGTAATGTTGTCTACTGTGAATGGATGTTTGGGGTAATGTTGTCTACTGTGAGTGGATGTTTGGGGTAATGTTGTCTAATGGATGTTTGATGGATGTTTGGGGTAATGTTGTTACTGTGAATGGATGTTTGGGGTAATGTTGTCTACTGTGAGTGGATGTTTGGGGTAATGTTGTCTACTGTGAGTGGATGTTTGGGGTAATGTTGTCTACTGTGAGTGGATGTTTGGGGTAATGTTGTCTACTGTGAATGGATGTTTGGGGTAATGTTGTTGTCTACTGTGAATGGATGTGAATGGATGTTTGGGGTAATGTTGTTTGTGAATGGATGTTTGGGGTAATGTTGTCTACTGTGACTGGATGTTTGGGGTAATGTTGTCTACTGTGAATGGATGTTTGGGGTAATGTTGTCTACTGTGAGTGGATGTTTGGGGTAATGTTGTCTACTGTGAGTGGATGTTTGGGGTAATGTTGTCTACTGTGAATGGATGTTTGGGGTAATGTTGTCTACTGTGAGTGGATGTTTGGGGTAATGTTGTCTACTGTGAGTGGATGTTTGGGGTAATGTTGTCTACTGTGAGTGGATGTTTGGGGTAATGTTGTCTACATATGGTGATATGGATTATTGAAAAGTAGATATATAAACTATAAATGTACATATTGTAGCAGTAATCACTTACCATAATTCATGAAGAATTTTTGCACTAAAAATGTTGTGCTAATATATGTGCACTAATTGAGTTTCAGTATTTTGTTCAATAGTTGTTGATGTGGCTACTCATTGTCGTGCTTATTTGTCAAAATATGATACTGTGCTGAAATTTTATTGTGCTAAAGTATGTTTACTGTAATATATCTTTCATAAAACTGGTGTTGAATACCAAAAGCCCTAATAAATGTAAGATTTATGAATAGTTTTTTAAAATCTTATTTTCTTTACAGTGTCATTTAACTGTGATGGAAAAATTCCGTGGTATCCCTTTTAAGTGTCTTCCACGGGAAGGACAAATCCGTCTTGCAAATCAGCTGGATCAGGATGATGGATTGGGCAAAGACTACATGGTTTTTGCACAAACCCTTGAAAAAAAGTGTCACTTTAGTTTTGGCATTGTGGACTTTGATGCTTTGAAGGTAAAAACCTATATTTTTATGATACATGTATAATTAAAATTGAATAGCAATTAACATATTTTTCCATACTAAACGGACACACACCTTATCTTAAGCATGCATCAATGTTTTTTCTCTTGGAAAATCGAATGGGTATACTTAAAGGAACTACATACACTATTTACCTGTCTTAACCTTATAATTACTCAAATCCATTTTTTCTAATTTAAAAATTTAAATGGTGTTTTCTGCTTTCAATGTTTCATTTCCTGTAGAAACTTTTCGCTGCAAGTTGATTATCAAATGCTCATGTCATGTGTTTTTGTAATCACACAATTTATTTATTAGGTCGGAATGATAGTTATTGTCCATAGGGAATAATTTCCTTAATGGATACATGCTGCATATATTACCATGCATGTAGATATAAAATAATGTCAATGGAATTTGTAAAGTGGACTTTTTATCCCCATCTCCCAATACGATTATGACTTCAAGATACAATTAAGTGACTAACAAATAAAGTAAGTGTAAAAATGACAAAATAAGTCAGAAACCTAGAAAAAGGTTGAAGAATTCTGAGTGGATAGAATTCACTTACAATGTATACTAGAAAAATATTTGAAATAATTGTTGTATATATATATTTATAGGTGTTGAGATCCAGGAAACATCCCAGTGCAACACTGGCTCTGTTTGACCAATACTATGCAAACAATTCTAAGAAGATCACTCTGGACCTGGTATACTTGGTACTGCAGGAGATGGGGCTGGATGATTGTACAGCTGTGCTTGATGAATTGTGGGAAGGTCTGTGTTCTGTCTATTAATATACCAATATTTAGTGTATGAGTGTTTATACTGGTAGTTCTGAAAAAAAAATATCCATGTTCATAAAGAAATTGAAAGTAATTTCACCTTGCTCGAATAGTTATTATGGAGTTTTTAAGATTTGACATTGTGTATCAAGAGGTATGGGAGAACTGTCTAGCAACATTGTGTGGATGTCTTGAGTAGGGGTTAGGGCAGCCTGGGTAGGTCAGTGTCCTGGATAGAATGTATGGTTGTCCTAGGTAGGCGTGTCACTGTCCAGGGTAGGTGTGGATATAACCTTGGTAGGTGTGGTCCTGTGTAGGTTTGGGGGTGTAGTGGTGTGTGTGGTTGTCCTAAGTGTGTCAATGTCTTGGGTAAGTTTGGGGATGTCCTAGGTAGGTGTCATCCTTTGTATGTTTGGGGATGTACTCGGTAGGACTGAGTGGTTGTTCTAGGTAAGTGTGTCAATGTACGAGGTAGGATTGGGGATGTCCTAGGTAGGTGTCATCCTTTGTATGTTTGGGGGTGTATTGAGTAGGACTGTGTGGTTGTCCAATATAGGGTTGTCAATGTCCTTTGTATGTTTGAAGGTTTATTGGGTAGGACTGTGTGGCTCTCCAATATAGGGGTGTCAGTGTCTGAGGTAGGTTTGGGGATGTCCTAGGTAGAGGTGTCAATGCCCTAGGTAGGTATGGGAAGTAATGCATGAAGGATTGGGGTGTTTTCCAAAATAATGTAGGGTACTGTATAGAGGTGTAGGGGTGTAATCTAAGGTAGGTGAGGAAGTGGGGGGAGCGGTAATGTATGAAGGTGCAGGGTGTCCTCTTACGTGGTTTAGGATATTGTATGGAGGTGTAGGGGTGTACTCTAAGGTAGGTGAGGAAGTGGGGGTGGGGAGGGGGGGGGGTTAATGTATGAAGGTGCAAGATGTCCTCTTAAGTGGTTTAGGATATTGTATGGAGATGTAGGGATGTACTCTAAGGTAGGTGAGGAAGGGGGGTGGGGGAGGGGTAATGTATGAAGGTGCAGGGCGTCCTCTTAAGTGGTGTAGGGTATTATACAGAGGTATAGGGTGGGGGTGTATTCTTGTGTAATGTAGTATTGTATGGAGGTGTTGGGGTGTACTCTTAAGTAGGTGAGGGAGAGGGTGGGGTGGGGGGGGAAAGGGTAATGTATGAAGGTGTGGGGTGTCCTCTTAAGTGGTGTAGGATATTGTATGGAGGTGTAGGGATGTACTCTAAGGTAGGTGAGGAAGGGGGGTGGGGGAGGGGTAATGTATGAAGGTGCAGGGCGTCCTCTTAAGTGGTGTAGGGTATTGTACAGAGGTATAGGGTGGGGGTGTATTCTTGTGTAATGTAGTATTGTATGGAGGTGTAGGGATGTACTCTAAAGTAGGGGAGGAAAGGGGGTTGGGGAGGAGTAATGTATGAAGGTGCAGGGTGTCCTCTTAAGTGGTGTAGGATATTGTATGGAGGCGTAGGGGTGTACTCTTAAGTAGGTGAGGGAGAGGGCAGGGGGGAGGAGTAATGTATGAAGGTGTGGGGTGTCCTCTTAAGTGGTGTAGGATATTGTATGGAGGCGTAGGGGTGTACTCTTAAGTAGGTGAGGGAGAGGGCAGGGGGAGGAGTAATGTATGAAGGTGCAGGGTGTCCTCTTATGTGGTGTAGGGTATTAGACAGAGGTATAGGGTGGGGGTGTATTCTTGTGTAATGTAGTATTGTATGGAGATGTTAGGTGTCCTCAGAGGTACAGTGGATTGCCTAGAAGTATCAGTTATTGAAATAAACATTTTGATTACATCATCATCAAAATTTATTGTTTTAGACATCAATAAAAGACACTTATCAACGAAGTGTAAACCCTATTATGCGGATAGGCAGTTTAATGACCAGCGATGTTCATGTGATAGCTGCAAGCCATTGCATACTGAGGATCATGAGAACGTTCCTTCTGATAATACACAAGGATTTTGCCATCCACCAACAACAAGCTATAATTCTACAACCAGTCAACCTTTGAGGATGAATTTGGAGCCTCCAATGTTAAATTGCCCTCAATCACTTCATAGTAATTTGTATTCAAGAATACATCCAGACGAAAGAGATAGACTTCTGTTCCCATCGCCTCAAGTTGTTCACTGTCCACCACAGAACAATCCGGTGACTGTGTATCCTGATCAACACATGATGCACATACATCAAGCCAATATGTTGAACAGCAGAGAACATGAAAGTTTCCCTCAAGAAGTTCGAAACTGGGTACAGCGTGGACCTGCTGTAAGTCCAGTAGTGCCAAAATACAGAGTTCCTGACAATGAAGCCAGATACTCCCCTCACACTGGACACCCACCTCAGAACAGCACTTCTACAGTACAGCTACCATACTACCCAGGCAGTTCTCTGAAGACACCTGTCACCCAAGTCTCCACTTTTCCTGGACCAGAAACTGGGGTAATTCCAAAAAAGCCCTGGGAAAAGTTAAGTGCGTCTGATAGCTGTGTGCTCTCCCCTCTTGCAAAACAGTATAGAGCAGATAATAGGCATTGTCTGCAAAGAGTGAATTCCTCACCTCATAGTTATTCATCCTTCGCTCATTATCAAAATGAACCACAGACTTTAAAAAGTAACTGTGGTGATTATCGCAGACAACCGTCACAGGTGAATGATTTAGGAAGAGACACACAGCTAAAGCAAGTAAATGATAGACAATGTACCTGTCCACCATCTGTAAGGACAGAATATTCCAATTCTGCAACAGCTAATGGATATCAGAATGGAAAATATCCACCAAACGATTGGTGCCCGTACCCACCTTCAGACATTGAAGATGATGAGGAAGAACAGACAAAATTACTTGAATTAGATGGAAGTTCCAGTTCTAACCTCATGTCACAGTGTACATGTCAGTCGCTGGCCCAGAATGATGCCATCAGACGACCAAGTAACAAGTCTGATGCAGAACGTCGCTACTCTGACCCACCGGAGAGTTTGTCTTCCTCAGATAACTGTAGTGTCCCCCTTCATGTGAAGCGATCCAGTAGTGAGGAAGAGCTAAAAAGAAACAACCTCAGCCCTCAAGGATCTGTTGGCATACAAAAAGTGCAACGTAAGATTATTTTTGTTATTTTAGTTTGCTTTAATAGATATTTAATCAAACTGTTCCAATATTTGCTGTATTATCATGGATTTTTAGTCCCTCTTGGTGAAACCTTGGGAGACTGTAGTTTTGGGTCCATTCACTTTGTCAGAACTCTAGAGGCTTCATTTCTTAAGGGATTTTCATCAAACTTCCCACACTCATAAAACATCAAGTTACCAAAATTAGGTTTAAATTCCAGGGTTTTTGGGTCAATTTTAAGGTCACTGTTACTATGTTTGGATTATTACAGTGTGATAGCTTGTAGGGATTGGTAGGGAACATGTAATGCATCAGCTGAACACTGTATGCTTGTGAATGTAGAAATTAAAGTATTTTGGTCACATTATCGGCATTTGAAGAACACTGTCGTTGCATTTATCGAAACACATATTTCTTAATAGGCAGAGCATTATCTGTCCTCTATAGACAAGTTGTTGTCAGTTGGTGTTTACTATTAATAGATGTTTGGCTGTTCGTGTCCTCAAAATACAGGTAATTGTCTGTGCCCTCTAGGCTGGTTGTCTTTTGTTGTCCTCTATGAACAGATAAAAAGGGATACAATGGCATTTGTTGTCTTCAACTTTTCCCATAAATTGCAACTTGTCATGAATGATTGAGCAGATTTTAATCAAATATGGTCTGAAGTATCCTTGGGAGAAGAGAACCAATTTCATATAAACAGTGTGTCTGGGTTCCCTGGGGCATGAAGGTCAGGGCTCAATAGGGAAAATCTTTTAATGTAAAAAAAAATCTATCTTGTTCTTCAGCAATTGCAGAATATTGTCCAAATTTGGTCTGAATCATGCTTGGGTGAAAGGAAATCAGTTTTATATAAATGGTGGGTCTCATCCCCTGGGGCCAGAGGGATAAGGCAAAATAGGGAAATTCTTTCAATTTAAAAAAAAAATTGATCTTGATCTACAGCAATTGCAGAATATTGTCGAAATTTGGCCTGAAGCATACTTTGGTGAAGGGCCAGGGCCAAATACGTGTAGGAGGGGTGGGGTCAGAGAGTGGAAATTCTTTAAAGTCATTCTTATGTAGGAACTGAAGACATCCTTGGTGAAGAGAACTTACATTTTTATAAACATCTAAACCCCTGTGGGATACAAGTGTTTTAAAAACTTTTCCATAATTTAAAACAAATCAATTTCTGCAAACTAAGCCATGTGAATGATACAGGCCTTAAAGGCTGTTGTTTTCACTATCCTCTGTCTGTGTCCTCTGTGTACAGGTTATTGTGTGTGTCCTCTGTATACAGGTTATTGTCTGTGTCCTCTGTATACAGGTTATTGTTTATCTTCTCTGTGTACAGGTTATTGTCTGCCCTCTGTATACAGGTTATTGTCTGTGTCCTCTGTATACAGGTTATTGTCTGTGTCCACTGTGTACAGGTTATTGTCTGCCCTCTGTATACAGGTATTGTCATGTTCTCTGTTGTCTTTTTGTATCCTCTATAAACAGGGTTGGGTTAGTGTATTGTATGTTGTGTCATCTTTAGACAGGTTATTTTCAGTGTCCTCTACTAACAGGTTAATGTCTGTTGGTGTCCTCTCTCTACAGATTATTTAAGTTATTGTCTATTGTGTCATCTATAGACAGGTTATTTTCAGTGTTCTTTACAGACAGGTAAATGTCTGTTATTGTTCCCTGAATACAGGTAAATGTATATTGGTGTCCTCTTTAGACAGACTATTTTAGCGTTTTCTACACACAGATTAATGTCTGTAAATGCTTTCTATGTACAGGTTAATGTTTATAAGTTTTCTCTTAAGACAGGTTAATGTCTGATTGTGTGCTCTATAGACAGGTTATTTTGGTGTCATCCATGTGCAGGTTGTTTCTGTTAGGGTCCTTTATAGACAGGTTATTTAATGTCCTATATAGAAAGGTTAATGCCTACATTGTATTATGTTACAGGCCTAATCAAGCTGTTCCTAACCTTTGCTGATGACAGTGAGGAGCACATGGAGGAAGTACTTACATTTGGAGCACAGCTAAAGGAAATGGGTTACAGCGTTAAATGTGACATGTTTGATCAAACCATTCAGAAGCTCATTAAACAGCCTGTTTCCAGCGAGATGCAGAACAGCATGCAACAATTCTTCAGCAACTCCTATGATTGGTTGGACTACCAGATCCAAAATTCGGCTTTCTTGGTTTTCTGTATTTCACCCAAATACTTTCAATATGTTAGACCACAAGAACAGATATATGGTTACAACACTGTAACATCTCACAGTGTTGGAGGAGTACATGGTGTGACAGTGGGTGCCCAACCTAATGACTGCCATCTCCACACAAAGTACATTTACAACCAAGCATGTAGTGAACATTTTCAGACACTTTCACAAAACAAAAGATTTTTTCCAGTCTTGTTTCCAAAATCTGGTGCTTCCAGAAATCACATTCCAAGCATTTTCAAGTCAACATTGATTTTCAACTACCCTGACCCTAACAACTCACTGCTGAACTTTCTCCATAGCCAGTTGACAGAAAGATGTAATCAGTAGCTGTGCATTTTACCAACATTCAATGGTGAAAACTAAATGGAACACATGCATAGATATTTACAATATGTATGTATTTCACTGATGCACAGAAAGTCTTGGACTGTTTATTATAGAGACCTATACACTAACCAACCATTGTGTGCTGAAAATTTCAGATAGACATTGCCAGAAATAAGATGCACTCCACTGATATATCCCTGATCTGTAAAGTTGAGACTATAGTGTTTTTGTCACATCTTTTTATCACGCTATTTACTTCTCTTTATACTGTAAAGGTAGGGGTATTTTTTGCAATGGTTCCAATTTTCGGGTTTTCCAAAAATTTTCATTCAAGCCTTGAATTAGAGTATTGAGTTCTCCATTAACGGGTAGCTATTTATAACAATATCATTCCTTCCTTGTAAATACTGGAAAGAAGAACCTCTAGAATATATTTAAAATAGAACCCCTAACAAACAAGGGGGGAGGGGGCAACACAAATATTGGAAAATACAACCCCTTAAACCTTGCAGAAAATAGAATCCTTCAAATATAATTGTGATGGGGGGAAAAAAACTCAAAAAACAATGAAAAACAGAATACAGGAAAAAAAAAGCAGAACCATTGAAAAATAATGGAAAATAGGACACTACTAAAACATACTGGAAAATAGAACCAATGAAAGTAATGGTACAGAAATTATGGTAAATAGACCTACTCAAATAAACAACCTTTTACAGTAATAACATTTTTCATATCTGACAGAAAAATTGACATTATCTACATTTGTATTATTTGATATATTTCATCATCTACAATTTTTTAGATATGGTGTCATCTTTTCAATTTATGTGACCTGTATCAGTGCAGGAAAAAGATGAAGAACATACATGCTTCATTATATCATCCTACAGATAATTGTTAGGAGTAAATTTGGTTGTATAATTTTACATTTTATTTACAAGGTAGAATTGTTTAGCAAATATCAATATAATCCAAATGTTATTTTTTGTCTTCTGCACATCAAACTATAGTTTCAGATGTACCCTGAAGTATCACTATCTGAAAGTTCAACCATAGGCATTTAGTTCACATCCATACTATTTTTTTAGGTTAGCTGACCTATAGCAATCATGTTTCATCCATCTTAGTGCACTGTTTGCCGTGTGTAAACTTTCCAATTTGACTTCTTCTCAATAACAAGAAGGCTAAGGGTACTGATATTGGGCCTGTAGCATGATTGGATGAACAGCTGCCAAGTCTGTTTATATGAATGACCTTGACCTGCTATCAAAGTCACAGGGGCTCAAATATGTTAAAATGACCTCTTCTCAATAACCAAAAGACCCAGGGTACTGATATTGGGCCTGTAACATGCTTGGTTGAAGGGCTACAAAGTTTGTTCATATTATTGACCTTGACCTACTTTCAAGTTCAAAGGTGTTAAACATGTCAAAAAAATTGAATGACATCATCTCAATAACCAAAAGGTCCATGGTACTGATATTGGGCCTGTAGCATGCTGGGATGAAGGGCTACCAAGTTTGTTAAAATGAATTACCTTTCCACACTTTCAATGCCACAAGGGTAAAATGTGTCTCAATTATCGAAAGGTCCATGGTGCTGATATTAGGCCTGTTACGTGCTGGGATGAAGGACTGCCAAGTTTGTTCACCTTGACCTTCTATTAAGGTCAGAGGGGGACAAATGTGTTGAAATAAATTAGCAGCTTCTCAATAATCGAACAGCCAAGGGTCTTTATACTGGACCTGTAGCTTGCTTTTTCAACAAGCAAAAGCGTTTGTGTAGTGCATGTATAAAGAATATGATTTCAAGTTTGCAGAAAATGTCTTTATGAACCAACCAATGTTTTCTGTTTAAGCTGTAGAGTAGCAGAGTAATTTATTTTAGGCTTATTTGGCCTCTTTCATATATAGGTCTTTATGTCCAGATGTCCCTTAAGGCCTGTGGGCCTCTTGTTTTTCTTCATTATGGATAGAGCTTAGTGTCTGTGGTCCTATCCTCGATGCAATATGTAATATTTTGATTTCGATGATTGAACTTCAACATTTTGTAAGTTTACAAGGGGTGAATGATATCTTGTTTGACAAAAGGATATTGTACATGTACTTGCTGGTTTCTGAAACTTTCAGGGAATACCTAAGATGTCTATCATTTACTTAACCCATAGCTTATATATTTTTTGCTTTTGTTATGTCTTCAAAGTTTAACATTTTTACATCAAACTTTATAAGAAGATACAATGTATTATTGTTACATAATGACAATGCATTAGATAAGAATATTAAAGTATTAACATAGTGTGTGCCTTTATGGATTTTGATGTACTTACCAAGGTAAACATCATCAATTTGTTCTGAAATATTGTTTTCATTGATATGTTGACTTAGTGAGACAGAATATCAGACAGTGTTAAAACCAATCAGCCATCAAACATACCAAAATATCACATGTATGTTACTCGGATTACATATTTTTTTTAACCATGAATCAACATCCTAATTTCCTCACCTGTGATGAAAAGGTGCAAAAGCGAAACTCTGGTGTTAACATCCTAGTTGTTAACATTTTACATACACAATGATAAAGCCATGTTTTGTTTGCCAATCCTAAAAGGTGGTTTAGAATTGAAAGCGTCTTTATGTTGTTCCTTAGAGATAGAAATAGAGATCTACCACAGGTAGACTATTGAGAAGACATAGAGATCTACCACAGGTAGACTATTGAGAAGACATAGAGATCTACCACAGGTAGACTATTGAGAAGACATAGAGATCTACCACAGGTAGACTATTGAGAGGACATAGAGATCTACCACAGGTAGACTATTGAAAAGACATAGAAATCTACCACAGGTAGACTATTGAGAAGACATAGAGATCTACCACAGGTAGACTATTGAGAAGACATAGAGATCTACCACAGGTAGATTATTAAGAAGACATAAATAAGAATCTACCACAGGTAATATCTCAAATTTGGTCTTTTTGTACCAGTAGATTGTTAGAAAGAAATAATTAGAACAGGATCTGTAGGTTTATCTATACTTTAAATATGATGTATATTTTGTTTACTCCTACAAAGTGTATAAATCTATTGTAACATTCACCAAGACACTGTACATATCCAATTTCAAACTTCAACTTCAAAGCAACATATTTTTCCTTATGTCTCTGTAAACATTTGCAGTAAATTCTCTTATCATTTGATATGTGTATATATCAGTATTTCACTGAAGGATATACTGATAAACAATGTTGTTGTGTATAGTTCGACCAGAATGATACGACTTGTTCACCTTTCATCAACATTCTAATTACAGGTGGTTTGATATCCATAAAGAGAGCATAGGTTAACCAATCACAGTATCATATTTGACATGTATGCTTCTCTATGCACCAAACAAATAAAAGATGGGCATACTCAAAATTAATGCAATTGCCCAACTTAAATATTTCAGGTAAAGAGTAATGTGGCTGGTCATTCTGGTTGGACTCTGGTATATATACATGTACCTTCACAAAAAAGGATTGTTGTTCCATCAAGTTGGTGATATTGTTATTTTTTTAAGTATACAGTTCAAGAAAGTAATGTAAAGAAAAAAATATGCCACTCTGAAGTGAATGACAGATGTCCAGGTTTAAAGTGATGAATGTCTAAATGGATTTGAACAATTGTTCATATTTGTTGAATATGAACAATTACAAATATCTATCTGGTTGAAGGTAGGTGTTTGTGTCCAGATTTACAAGTGGTAATGCTTATATTCGTAGAAGAATTAGGAGCTATAAATATGAAGTTCAGTGTGAAAAGCTTTTGAGTGCACACGTATTGCTTGTGAGAAAAGGCACTGCTAAGTTCAAGTTTAAAACTTGGACAATTGTGTTTTCTGAGGTTTAGTTGAACATCAAATCTGTATGTTCTGTTTATTGTGATCGTTTATGTTTCACTGGTCATAACCAAATGATAAATGTTAACATTTTGTTGATCAAAGGCTGGTTTGAATTATCCAATGGTTAGTGAACATTTTCAAATATGGTTGTATAGGTTTGTTGAGCCAGGTCAGATCGATATATTTGGAGTGTTATTTTTACGTTAAACACTCCTGATTGTTTAGCAATTTGAAATATTTACTAACCACTGGTTTCACTCTAACTTTCCAGTAACTCTGACCAAGTCTGTAAATGTGTATTTAGGTCCAGCAAGGATTGATCTTCCTGATGATAATAGAACACATTTAAGCTGGAGTGATGAAATATCAAGATTGTTGACTAGGTATTTGAAAGACTTCTGTATATAAACACGTAACTACAATTGACTATAACTGTCAATATATTCAAGACAATAAAAAGTATGATTAAACATGTTTTAATTTTATTTTCTCAATTAGATTAAGAGACCTTTTTACCGCATGTATTTGATGTAATGCTGTTTTCACAAAAGTATCCATAGTCAGCTATAATGATAAAGTCTTACGCATTTGTTTCTATTTCATACAAGATTTGTGAAACCCATCAGAATCTTCTATTTAACTTTGCAAGCTTACATAATGAGATGAAAAACTCTTAATTTTTGTTTTGTAAATCTGATGAGAAATGAAAACCGAGGTAAAATTCCTTTATACATGGATCAACTTTTATAAGCTCCCTTACTATAATAGGACGCAGAGGATAGCACCAAAATACTAGATATACTGTATTTGTTTTAATTACTGCCATCCCTTGATAAAGTCCCCCACCCCCGTAATCTCCCCACCCCCTACTTTCGATCTCATTTAACATCACCCATCACTTGAGCTATGGAACAAAGTCAATATGTAATGCTTCCTATACACCCATGATTTGCACATTTCCTTGTTTACTAAGAGATCCTCAATGCCGTTTATGTCAAAATATCGTCAAACATTGTAATGACCATTTCATAGATCTTGAGAAGGACCTTGACCATTCATTGTATAGCCTTCATTTTTTTCTGTTGGATTTCTATCATTTTAGATCACTTTAAACGATAAAGAAATCATGTCATATTGTAATTCCAAACAACATAAAATTTACTTAGGCATGGATAGGTAAAGGAAGAACTCTATACATGAAATTTGAAAAAGCTAAAGCTCATTTTCAGAAACAAAGATAACAATCTTGGTGTTAAAATCCAGTACCTTCCTGTCTGGCATGGTTTTCTATCAACCTGACTCCAACTTAGCATGTACAATGCAGAATCAAGAGCATCCTATATATGAAATTTAAGATCAATCTATTGCTTGCTCCTTTATAATAACAGTAGCAACATTTTATCACTCTGGAGCAAGGGAATCCATGCTTTACTTCTTGAATTAACGTGAGCAGGGGCTCTAATAGTTATTGCACCTCCACCCTCTTTATTGATTCTGATTAAATCATGTGAAGAGTATACAGGCTTATTATTTCAAAAGTGGGCCACGGTGACCTCTGACCTTGATCCATGACCATCAAATCTAATCAGGTTTAGAACTTTATGGGGAAATGCTGCATAGTAAATATGAATTAATCTGTGGTTCTTGAAATATACACAAGGGTGACCTTTGACCTTTATTCTGAACAATGACTATCAAAATTTAATGATCACATGTAGACCTTAGTGGAGTGATGCTACAGTGTGAATATTTACAAAATCCATCAATTGGTTCACAAGATATTTTGTACACAGACACAAAAAGTGATAATTATATACTCCCCTTACCTAATGAGGAGATTGGGATTGGTTGGTTATTGAGAAAAGCAGTACTATCTTATGGACACAGATGGCAATGTTAAGACCAGTCTAGCATCGGACTAAAATCAGATCAAGGGACACTGCATTGTTGCTTCAACATAGTGATAAAGATGGACACAACACATTTCTTCTTTGAAATTCAATATATTTGTATCCTTCTTGTTCAGAAAATATCATAACATTCAAACAGTGTATATATACATAATACATGAATTGAAATAGGAGTTTCAATTTGTTCGGTTCATGGTTCAGTATGTCAACATTCACAACATTGACAATGTCACGATTCCTTATAATTAAGAACATGGAGTAAAACTGGTCTTTCCAGATAAAGCTAACAGTGGTGTATCATCATGGACTACTTACAGTACATAAACATTCCTATATAGACAATTATGATAAAAGATTTACAGAAATTCAGCAGAGTCCTGTAATTGTATTGCTCTTGAATTCCTATCTACCTAATTTTACAATGTCTGTAAAACAATGCTGGGCTCAATGCTTTCTACCTTCAACATTAAAGGTAATCTAACCAATGAACAATTTAAAACATTTTTCTTTCAATTTTAGAAGTTTAACTAAAAAATACATGTACAACAATGTAATACCACTCCAATGGTAAAGAACCAATCATATTGTGAAAACCACAACAGTACTTGTATGATTATAGTTTTGTTGAGCTTGAACAACCAATATCAAGTGGTGACAAATACAGACTGCATTATGAGCTAAATGAAACAAATCCATGCAACATTTACATGAACAAATTACATGAATTCTGATAAAAAGATTAAAACCTAATTCTCATAAAAATTGACAACTTTCAATTAATTACAATTTACAGTAATTTTGGGCTCAAATTACCACTACATTTTTGTGACCAAAACACCTTTTAAACCATGTTTGTACACTAATCAAATTAAATACGCTTTCCATCCTAACGACTGGTAATGATCAAAAGTCTCAACTGTATCAACATTATAATTGCCCTTTGTCATAGGGCATTTGGTCTTGAATTTGAATCACCAAATACATTCTACAGAAATTTTATTAAACCAATATCAACAGTCCTGTATACATCATTATTATAAACTTGTGAAGCAGTTTGAATCAGAACTTCATATGAGAAAATCTCAACATAAAATAAGCTGTTGCATCAACAAATCTGATCTTTTTGTTGCAAATTATACGCAACAATTTGGAAACAATTACATCAACAAGTATGTTAAATGTTGGTTTAAAGAATTGATAAAAAGCTTTCACACAAACTCTTTAAAAAGTTCAACAGTTCTGACGCCATGAAATCATCAGATACAAGCATAACAGTATAGAAAGGGAACTTTCATTTCATAAAATCAATTAGGTCTGAAATGGGAAATAAAATGGGAAGGGAGATAACTGATGCATTGCCTACTCACAATTTCATTGAAGCACAGCGCATTTACTTTATTTAATAAAAAGTAGACTCCAAAGTGCAAAAGAATTCCTTGAAAGAACACAATATTCACATTAGTTTCTCTTAAAGTCAGATTTATCAAAATACAAAAACACCTTTGTTCCTTTACCTACTGACACATACCGATTAAACCCAAGGTACCCCAGAATATGTTACAAGTGCATTCACACCTATCCTGATGCATTTAAAACATTTTCAAATGTTTTGGAGGGCTAGGTTAATATAAGGAAAAAATCATACCCTGTCTCCTTATATACGTTATACACAATTCAGGGACGAGAGCCATTTTGACCTTTATTGACAAATTCAAGCCCATACCTAAATGTGAAAAAATGTTATATATAAAGGCATAAAGTCAAGTTTGAGACACTTGTAATTTATTCTATGGTTCCTATGATTTAAAATTTTATGTAAATACTTTTTCAGTTGCTGCACTATTTTCACATTGAATAACCAAAAATCTGATGGCAAAAAGATGACCCTTAATTGGAAATCAGCATAAATGTGCAACATATGTTTCTGAATGCATTCTATTCTATCGTTTTCCAGTACTTAATTCATTACAGCTGCCTGTAATGGCTGCTCATTGCTGTTCAAAAGACTTTCCTCCTCTGAACACAAAATTGTCTCCTCTGTTTGCAGGAAAGGGGACTCTGAGATGACAAATGGATCAGAGCCATGCTGTTGCTCATTGTCTAGTACAATGTAGGACACGTTCTGATCACAATCAAAATCTTGGACATACTGAACCATGACCTTAGGCTCCCCCCACGACCCTGAACAGACATTCACTTTCTCCGAGTGGAGATTTGTTACCATGGCCACCTCAGAATCAACTGCCTCCCCTGTGACCATGGTAGCAGGTTTATTCACGTCTTCTGTTACCATAGCAACGTGATCAGACACAATGTTTGTCTCATTGCTAGATAACTGCATATCTGTTACCATAGGAACACTAGAGGCAGACTGAATGTGAATGTCGTAAATTGTCTGAGCCTCAGAGGACGACACATTTATAACTGGTGTTAGATAAGTTGTAGATGATATAGTAGAAGTATGCTGGGAATTGGGATTAACTATATGAGAACCAGATGATGTTTCAGGTGGAAGTATAATGCTGTTTTCTTCCACCTCCATATTGTTGCATAGATTTAATGTCTGACTTTCATTTCCCACTAACACACTTTCCTGATCATGCTGAGTCCCTATACAGCCAGTACTCAGACTACCAGAATTAGTTTCCAAAGAAGATTTGTCAGCAGTCACTATACAAGAATTGTCCCACTTTTTTAGATCTTCTACACCACACATAACCACTTGAACTCCAGATTTTTGAGAAGTTACTGGTTTTGACATGACAGGTGTAACAACATTATCTACAATTACATTGCAAGAACACTTTGGTAATTCTGCAGTCCTGTCTTCTGCACAAGTCTCCTGGCCACTGCTGCACACCTGTTGTGAAAGACCAGTGTCCACCTGATGCCAGTCACATTTGGGTTGCTCGTTCAGAATTTCTGGCTTTGAAGGCAGATCAATTACATTGATATCTGTGGTATAATTGCTGGAGGCAGATTGGTTATTCATGACTATGATCTGTACACTAGAATCCTCCGCTTCACCAATACATGAGGTAGACTGTACATATGGTATATTTACAAACACAGACGACTTTTCTGATTCTGTTGCTATGTAACCTGCCTCGGTCTGTTTGCCAGCAGAATTGATATTTTGAGGATCTTGATTCTCATCAGAGTAAATTCCGAGAGACTTTGCCACCATTTCCAGCAGATTTGTCCTGTTTTTCATGTCTGGAATGTCTCTAGAGAGACCTAACGGTAAGGACACTGTTCTACCTACAAACTCTGGTGCTAGAGGGTCTTGTGCCAGCTCCTTAAGCTTACTTCCTGGAGGAGGAAAAACCCTCACTTCCTGACTATTAGACTGGGGTACATGCAAGTTTTGTGGAAGCTTTTCCAATAGAGATATATCTTTATTTGGTTGGGAACAGAAATTGTGTGCATTTTTAGGGAATATTAAAGTTTCTTCCTTGTTATACGTGTCATTTGGGAGAGGATTGTGTGTAATAGCTTCTACAACATCCGACACAGACTTACCTGTGCTTTTAAAACTGTCAGATTCCTTGCTAAGACTAGAAAATAGGCTTTCAAACAAATTACGTCCTTCACCTTTTTTTGGGGTTGATTCCTTCGACAACCCTGATTTCATTGAGATTTCATTAAGTGGCATTTGCTTTTGACTCAGGGGTGGACATGAGGAATGATCCTGAGAAGTGTGTTCCGAAGATTCACCACTCTGTGAACTGGACTGAATGGGAAATGTTTCTACCTGAATTTCTTGTTCGTACATTGGACTTGTATCAGAACAATTTTCTGTTTCGCTAGGAAATGAACCAATATTCAATGCAGGCTGAATATCAGTCACCATTTCAGTTATATGGTAACTAGCCCCCAAATCTTTTACATCAGTCTTTCCTTTTTCAAAATTTCTTGTTTCTGGAAGTTCTACTTTACTATGAGCAGATGTATTTTCAAATGTTTCACTCCCTACCATATCTGAACATGGCAAATCTGGCTCAAGGGGTTGTGTGTCTGCCCGAGAAGTTAACAGATTATTTGAAGACTGCAGCATCTTTTCTGTAAAAGATTCAATGTCTGTCTGTACAGCCACTGTAACCTTTTGAACTTTCCTGCACAAGCCGTTAGACCCTGTGTTTACTTTCCCACTGCTGGTTTTACTGATCTGCAATGCTGTGGTCATTATGGCATCCATGAAATGACGCTCCCCCAGTTTCTGTGAATCCTTTGTTTTTGTATTAGAAGTGCTCTCTTCATAACCACTTTCAATGTGAGAGGAAAGTGGTTGTGCTTTGGACCAAATAGAGGAATCCATGTTTGTCATCTCTGCCTTTTGAGAAGTGCACAAGTCAGCTAGAAGATCTGTGAAATGTCGTGCTGATGAGGACTTAGAAGTGGAAGATGTAGCAGTAACATTATTTTGGACATTTTCATTTGGAAATTCAGTCAAGCAATCTTTGGGGCAAACATTATTTTCAATAGACATTGTGACAGGTTGTGTAGAAAGCTGTAATTTGATGTTTCCCTCATCATGTACACCTGTAACACAAGGTGTTGGGACACCTGGTATCTCTTGCTCCAGATTTTCTGTAGTTGAGATTTCAACACAGACAGGCAGTTCCTGACAAGTCTCCCTATCTGAATTCTCCATAGTGTTATCTCCATCTGACAAGAGATCTTCAGTAGGAGAATCCTTCTTTGGTTGTAAATGTTCATATTGACTTTCCTGTTGTTGCTCTGTCACTTTATCCAATGTAATATGTACTTCATCCTTAACCTGTGGTGCTATGTCTTTGTCAGCGGTCAAACCATCTTCAGACTTAGACACTGTCTTTTGTGGTTCATTCACTTTAGATATTGTGCAAGTTTGATCACAGACTGAAATATTTCTGTCTATTCTTGGGCAGAGTTCTTTTATCACATCAGTGTCTGATTGTAGTTTTGGTGAAGGTAAATCCTTTGTCTGAGTGTCAAATATTTGTTCCTGGTTTTCTATTGAAACAATGTCTCTGAGACCAGTTGATTCGGAATATGTTTGCTGTATTGACTTGGAACTAGAATCCTGCTTTTGTGTTTTAGAATATGCGAAATATTTTGAGAATATTTCAGACATATGCTCCTCAACTGATTCTGAACTTTTATGTCCCAATGAGCTGTTAATGGAATATTTTTCTCTACTTTCATTTTGTTCATTGTGTGAAGAATCCAAAGATAATTGAGGCTGTGCAGCAGCATCACTACTCCTTAAGTTTAAAGTTTTGTTCTCATAATTTGTTTCCAAAACTGGTGGTGGCACCTCCTCATTGACTGACAGTGGTAATGGTGATATTACTTTTGTTGATGTATTTGCCAATAGACTAGAATCTCTAATCCTTAAATCAGAAATAACCTCAAGTACCGGAGGTTCAAGGTCAGGACAAGGTGACGGACTAAGTAGAGAGAGGTCCAGATCAGATACTTTTTCTAATACTGGTGGAGGAGTACAAGGTCCAATCACATCAATAATTTCTTGACTAGACAAATGAGGGTTATTTTCAAAATCAGGAGAAAAACCTTCACATACATCCATTGTTTCTTGGTTACAACTATCTTTGTTCAAATGTGCAGATGAAATCATGCCAAGATCATAGAAGAACTTTTCCTTGAATGGTAATGGTTTATATATCAGATGTATGCCAAGAAAAGTATTCTTGTACTCCTTCACTGGTGGGGAGTATATGAACACTGGTGCAGATTTTCGTCTTTTTTTATTTCCTTTCTTTGCTTTAGGCAATATAAAGAGAGTGGTATCTGAGATTCGTCTAACTGGTAGAAGCTGTGGCCGTAACACATTCTTGTTGCTTTTCTTGTTGGTGAGATTCTGTTTAGGTTTCTGTTTGAGTGATGACATATGTTCGACAGTTGCACGTTTGGGTCGAAGGACCTTCTGACACAGATTCCGAGTGTGTTTGATTTTACATGGCACTTTATTGTGTTTCTGAAGAAGCTGTATAGATTTGAACACACGATCGCAGATTCGACACTTTGGTTCTCTTGCTGGTTTTGGTTTCCGTGTTACAGTTTTTGGAAGACATGCCTCATGTTGTATTTCTGTTGTCTTAGGTTTTGAATTTTGACTCTTGACACTATTTAATGTTCCATCCAATTCATCACACCCTTCACCTTGTACCCCTGGATTTTGAATGATACTAGTATCATCTTTGGCCATCATTGTATCATTCACACTCTGAAGATCACATTTGGTGTCCTGACTTTCCTCAGAACTTCCTGTTGTCCGTACACTGTTTGTATTACTATCACTCACATTTTGCAGTGCTGTCTTTTTCAACTTTTTTCTTCTTGACTTAGCTAAGCAGTCTAAACTTCCTTTTCCTCCTATATATTTCCGTTTCTTTTTCACAATTTTATTTGAAACACTTTTTTTCTCTTCCATGGATGTACTTCTGGTTGTCATCTTTTTTGCAGTCTCATGAACTTTGTATTTGGGTGGTTTGGGTGGTGGACGAGATGATGAAGTTGAGGATTTCAATTTGCAAACACAATATTGAATAGTTTGATTTGTTTGGCTATCATTATCATCTAAAAGGTTCCTAAATCCAAAATCATCAACAGTAGGATCATAACAACATCCATTTTCACAACAATTAGAAGATTTTGGTTTGACAACACTGTCCTTTTCTTTATTCAAACACACACTATCATTTGAATTGTCTTTGTTTTGTAACCTTGTGAAACATTCAGACAAAATTGCACTGTCAGCGGCAGATTTTTCAGAAGTCAATATTTCATCTGACTTTGTACTGTTCAAATTATCCTTGTCATTAGAAGATTGAGGCTTTTTATCATTACTTAGTCCCGGGCTCTGAGTGGCAGGCTCTGCAGATGGATCCGCAGCAGATGATACAGGATTATGTGGTCGAGGTGATAGTGAACTAGTAGAGGACGTTCGACTGGCAGGAGGGACAAAACTATGATGCTTTCCAATCTCTGGTTCCTCTCTCGCTATGACCTACTCAATGTGAGAAAAATAAACACTTAAAATAAATATTCAATCACCAAATCATCAAATCACACTACCCTAGCTGTCACAGGAAAAGGAGATGAACATATCATTGTAATAACTCTGTAGTCTTCCCAGATTAATTTTATAATCTGAAATTTTACCTGATCTAATCAAATATCTCAGGGGTTTTTATCTGTTATTTTCACATTGGAGTATTATGGCTTCCTTTATACACTGTAGTTTTCCTTCATACTATTTACAATGTTAGAAAAACTTCAGAAAAAAATCTTACTACTTTATTATGTCATCAACATTTCCCATCCAAAACAAGGTCAATGGGCCACAATATTACAATCTATAAGAATGTCAATTAAGTCTTGGTGATTTTTTTTTTGTCATATAATATGATACAGAATGTAATAGAGTTAAAAAGCAATACAATTACTTTCATGTGAATTAACTGTACACACCTATACTACAATTGAGCTGACTTTGCTTTTTTGACCAAGTCACGATTTATTATCAAAGCAACAAATAAGATACAGCAATTGTTTTGTAAAATTATGAAGAAATTCACTGCACTCAAGACATTGACAATCTAAAAGGACCCAATATTATCCTATATTAATCTTCGCAGCATACTATTTGAACAAATAAAATATATGTCATACTTAACAATGATATACATGTAATTTCACTGTCAAGTCTTTAAAACTCACTTTGAAAGCATTGTTAATTGTAAGAGCAGTTTCTTCATGAATGATTCATTCATACTGTCCTGTATGTATCATCATATAAACAAAATTTGAGACATATTAACACTTGGGCTGTATTGTACTAATTTCTTTACTCAACAGGAGAAATTTAACCCTTTGCCACATATTAGCCTATAGACCACACCACATGTAATGAAACGAGACTAGTGCTTAGTGATTACCAATAACACTCTCAGCATAGTCGCGTTCTTAAATTTTCTATTTTTACATCTTTTTATATAATGAAAATTTATCACCAAAAAATAGACCCTTTTGTTTTACAAATTTCTCATTGATTTTAATTGTGTGCTTCAAATTAATATTTGTTCATATTTAAAAGTCACTTTTATGATGAAAAATAAATAAATGGCGTTGCAACTGGTTTGTTTGGACACCACATACACAAGTAGAGGAGTGTTTACATTGAGATAGAGTGTGGGCATCAAAAGGCATTTACATGTGCCAAAGGGATGGAAAACAGCTTCTATTGCCAATAAACAGTTGTGATTAACAATAACTGCAGTAGAAATCTTTATGATGAATGTGATTTGTGGTTACTGTTTGGTGTGTATCGACACTATTCACTTGTATTTGTATAATAAACAGTATAAACATAACCTGTGCTTCATCAGGGAAATTGGATCATAACAATGTCAAATAAGTAACCTCTGATAGGATTTGTAACATCTAAATAGGAAAATGTCAATCTGGCAAAAACATTAACTCTGACAGAATAATGGTTAATCAGACTTAAAATGTACCCGGTACATTTTAAGTTATTGAATCTTGGTCACGTACCATGACTAAGAGTATAGGACCTCAGAAGGTTCTACAATTTTGGAAGAAATTAAAAGTTATCAAAATTAATGAAAAACTAAAAAACAAACTGTTGCAAAGGGAGTTAAATGACACAAAATGTCTACCTACCAAGTTCAAATGTTGGTACTGTAACAGTCTGAAAGGAAAACCAAAGGTTTAAAGAACTACGTACCAGAAAACGGAACAAAATAACAAAAATATTCAATGTTATCTGGCCTAGATGTGTTTGTGATATTGAAGATGACCTATGATGACCTATGGCTGGCCTAAGTCAGAGTTAAATCCTTACCTCAGATATCAGTTGGAGGTCATCTGGTTCAATGTTTGGCTGCAGAACTACTTGTTGTTGGGCCACTTCTGGACACATAGCAACCTGTGGAACAATGTTCTCCAGCGTGGCAACCGTCTCAACAGTAACTGCTTCAAACTGTGGCTACAAGATTAAAACATGCCTGTAAATTAAACTGATGACAATATAGATAAGTCCATGTAAGAAATAAACACAAGTTATCAGTAACCTACTAACACAGAACTACTTGATATTTCCAATACATAAACCTATGCTTACATCTATATCCTAGGACACTTCAAATCTCATTATAAACAATGCATTATCTATTAAGAAATTAAGGTGTATCAGATAATCTGATATGGGATTTGATAATTGTGTACTTGACAGCTTGATTTAAGAAAGTGATCATTGAACTATTAAAGAGATAGTGGACAATTTCTGTTGAAATTTATTTACTTTTTGTACAAATATAACAGGGTTGAGATGATAAACATAACATACTATACAATATATATCAAGGTATATATATATGATGCTTTTGATACATATCACAACAAATGTGTATGCTCAAAAGTTCAACTTTATCAATGATTGAGTGCATAATGTTATTTAGTGAAGCCATGTTTCAGAGGTAAATACTACCAAATATTTCTCTTTTTATTAATTTCTAGTACTTTTTGGGTACGACTGCACAGTTGAACAAAACATTGCTGAATGATTAGAGAGTATCAGCCCATTTTTTAGAGTTTGACAAAAATTGATTTATATTTAAGTACTTTTAGCACATTTTGAATTGTGTTACTGGTAAACAAAACAAATTGATACGACACACTAAAAAGTATCCTGATATGAAATGAAATGTTACATTTTGTATAATGTTGCAGCACTAAAATATAATGTTCATCAAAGCACACAATTATAATAAAGCCCTGATTAAACAAATCAATTAATTTCAAAACAATATTAAAGATATAAACTTTTCACATGCAGTTGTAGGTAGTGTTTACATAAGCTATGTATACATTATGTTGTACCTGATTATGATCTTCGTAGTGGTCTGGGTTTGTGGTAATGACATAATGTGTGTCCACATCACCTAGATCATCAGCGCCTAAAAGTTGGTATGTGGTCGCCTGCTGCTCTTGCTGCTGTTGCTGTTGCAACACCTGGGCAGCCTTCAAAAGAGACTCAATCTGATTGGCTACCACTTCGTCAGCTACATCAGACCTCATGGCCAGCGACTGTTCCATTTGCTGTAGGTTTGCCTCCAGACTATTCAAGGCACTGGCCTTCTCGTCATCATCTCCATGTTGATCTTTTTGCTGAAATTCAGGTAAAGTTATTGATACACCGGTCACGGGGATCACCGCCTCCTCATATGGAACAGATTTCCTGCATGGGTGCTTCACATGCTCTCGCATTTCATCAAGTGAAACAAACACACGTTCACAAATCTGACATTTCAGATCATTCATGACAAGTTTGCGGATTTTGCGTTTTGATACAGAAGGCTCTGGTTCTTCCATCTGAGCAAGATTTGATACCACAACACTGCCTTCAGTCGTACCTGCCACCACTTGCAATATTCGACCATCTGTACTAACAATCTCTTGACGTGGATTAGAGGAAACAATTTTTTTGCAGGTTTTACTGTGCCTCCATCTTTGAATGGGATCAATAAATTTTGCCATGCAATGGCGACACCAGAAGAGACGTTTGGATGGGTTACTGAGGTTGTGACATGGGTGACTTGAAGACTGCCCTCCAGCACCACTGCCACCACCACCTCCACTGCCTGTAGCCATAGTTTTGATAATTCTGCTTCACCTAAAGACAAGCATATAGATAAGTCAAGTAAGCATACAAGTAAGAATAAGATGATGTATAGTTTCAGTGAGCATGTGCGATACAATTGCATCAGATATATATATATATATAGCTTTTAAATAGCTGTTAGTAAAAACACTTCCAAAGTAGTCAGACTGTCTGTATATTAATGTTTGTTTTTAATTTTTTTCTCATCACAAGGTTGCCAAGGTCAGTGATTTTTTAGCCCCAATATTTGAGTCCTGGACTCATGCTTTTTCAGTGGAACTAACTCAAATTAAGAGACCATATGATATATCTTAGAATTGGCACTAGTCAAAAGTTTGGCATTGATGTTCTGTACTCACTTTTAAAAATATTACAAAAATTACTACAGGAGAACAATTGTTTCCCTTGACAATTTGCAGCATGGGCAATTTTAAGACCAACCAAGACTGCTTAATATAAACCCATTACCCAGTGGTGTTGGGATGTTTAATATATGGGATGTTTAACTTATATTTTCAACTGTTAAGAAATAAAGGATTCATTCTATTCTCCTTCATGTTGGATATCACAACAGAGAAGCCAGGTGCATATGTCTGCCTCTGTATTGGCAGCAGTTAGCACTATCAGATTAGTATGCAGATTTATTATTTATTAAGCATCATTGGTGTTTATAAAGCATATCTGCGAGTCTTACAATTTTTAAATTATCTGTTCATCATAACAAGGATAGTCTTCAGGCATTTCTATGACCTGGTTTGTGTACGATATTGTGTGATGAGGAATATGAAACCAGAGATGTTTTTGTGTTATCTATATATGTCTCTGATAAAAGTCATAAAATGAATATTGGATGAATTCTTTCTTATAACTGAGTTTATTCCCTTTTAAATCAATGTGATACATAAAACATTGCCAATCAAAGAAAATTTATCTATCCACAACTAAACAAATTTTAGAAATATCAACAGGAATCTTGGTACAATACATCTTCTGATGTCGCTCACTTCCTTGTGCAATTTAGGCAATAGTGTCTGAAGATGTTTAAAGATTACCCTTAGTATAAAATATGCCAAGCTGTCATTCAAGATAAAGAAAAATATTTTCACACATGAAACTGACACTTTGTATTCTAAAGCATTACAATAATAATTAGTACATATCTTGTAATGTCAATAATTTTATTTTCCTGCAGTACTTAAAGGTAGTCCATCCCTTCATATTTTATAGGATAAAACTTCATGAAAAGACTTTTACTTAATGGTAGATATACTTACACCACAATAAACACACCACATATTAGATAAATACTTCTTAACTACTGATCAAGATATTGACAATTTTAAGGAATTAAACATTCTGTTCATAAATTCCCTTGTAAAACATAAGTAATATATACATACTGTATAAATATCATTAAGATTTATAATTATTACATTGCTATGCTAAAAGTTTTATGATTTTCTGAAGTAATGAAATAATCGTCAACCTTCTCGTAAAATCTTATCTCTTTTACTGGCAAAATTGCCTTCACAACCTGTTTTTTTTTTATAATGAAAATTTACATTCTGCATAATCTCTGATAATTACGATTGTACCATTAGTGTGTCTTTACCACTGCTGAGTAACCATCATGTTTTTCTACACTTATTTATAAACTGATTTTGTTAAATTTACTTTGATTACAAAATTTTCCACCCTTACACAATCCCTAGGTTTCGTCTTGGGAGCAGCAAACACAATAGAAAATACCAATATAGAGAACATGGTATAAAAAGAAACAGATTACCAGTCTCTGGAAGGAGTTGCATTACAGAAAGAAAGGCCATCTATGTTAAGATATGTAATTCAAGATGCTGCCCTCAAATGTATAGGTGTGATGCTGGTGACAGTGGTGCAAAAAATCTACACCCCCTCCACCCCACCAAAATAACCCAAAGTAACCCTGGGCTGCTGATTTTCTGAAGATGTTTTTATTCCAAGCAGACACTGAAGAACCTATGATCATTTCCAATCATAACAACTAGATTATATAAGTTCATGATTGACACATATCTCATTCTGAACACTTAGTCTGTCAATTTTAGTAAAGTTTGTAGTACAATACCCATAGCAACAGTATACTTGCATGGCAGGTTTGAAAGATAGCAGCATTATCATAGCATACAACTGCTATTGGGGGTTTGCGGATAACTAATAGCAAACTTTGGACAAATAAGAAAGCAAGAATTTTTAGTTACTTCTAGATACTGTGACAATAGGCTAAAAGCTGTGTTACCTACAGCCTAAATTGTGTAGTATATCAGGATTGCAAATAATTTGTGAAGCAAATTGCTTATATCGAATCTTTTGGAATTTTTGTTAATCTATAACACTTAATTTTGGAAGTGATGTTGAAACATTCATAGAAAAACATTATTTTTCAAATTTGTCAATGGAACCAATGGGTTCAATGGGGAAATCCTAGCAACATTCTCTGTAAGTGACGAGATTCACAATGAGTCAATGATGCATCTCTATAGTTAGGACTTGTGAAAATCATGGACAATTCAAAGCAGTAGAATTGAATAACACAGTTCAAATTACATTGAACGTGATGCTTATTTGAAAGTTTCGCGATATCTAAATCCGAACACATTCCCTTGGCTTCCCGTACCGAAATATATAATGTACAGTACAGTACTGAATATCAGCCAAAATCATTCATGAATGACCGATATCTATTAGTACATTTGTCATGTCTTTAAAGCTTAAGCTTCGGTGAAATATCGACAAATGTAATTGTAAAAACCGAAGATTGTACCGTTTACGACCATATATTCCAAAGAACCTGGTATTACATCAAAAAACGCTAATGTTGTTGCTAAGAACTGCTTCAGTATTCGGTACGTTTCGCCATTAGAGTTACTTCCCTTGAATATCAGGTACAATGCTTATGTCAAGAACAACAATAGTTTGTGCAGATATTAAAATCACTACCGCATACTTACGTCGCACCCATAAATTGATTATTTTCCATTACATTCGGCATGGTAATACCATGTGGGATTTATTAGTAGGATTTCATACCATCCATTTACATTCCGCCTGCATTTCAAAGCTTCCTGTGTGTGTTTAGTAGATGGCGCCACTAACATGCATATGTAATGACCCGAAACTTTGTATTGACCTTCACCCATTATTTCTTAAGAGGTACAAAAACATAATAAGGTAATAAAGGATATTCAGAAATGAAACTAAATCGTAAATCTACATATGCTAGTCATAGTAAAGTGTTGTCTGAATTACTGAAGACAGGCACGTACTTTCCCTCCAAAGGGAAGAAACTCTTTCCCGATTTATCGTTCGGATTTTTCCGGTCATCTATTGGATGAATACCAAGAATTCCGAATAGAATAGTTACTGTTTACAAATGGCGAGCACAGACAGCGAGCAGTCATGCAACGAAACATAAGGTTAAATTTGAAGCCGTTTTCGGAGTCTTTGCGCTGTGTATAGGTAAATTGATGAAAGATAAAATGTGATATGATAATGAAAAAACCTTCAAAAGGGTTTGAAACATTTTACGAACTGAGAGGGTCCAAAGAAACTTTGACGCATCATCCCATTTCACAGGATAAAATCGCACCAACTCACAAGACACATAAGTTTAAGTCTGAAAGCATGTCTACAAGTGCTTCTTTTGAAAAATAACGAGACAAAATGATATTTTTTTTAATCACTGGCTGATATTTGTCATCTTGGTATTACCATTCAGTCCGCTTTGAAAAGGAATACCCATTTTTTAGATAATAGAAAATATCACAAAAAAAAAAAAAACAAAAAAACAAAATACACAACAATACCACTGTAGGCTTCCTAAGCAGCAATTTGAACATTTCATCTGCTAACATCACAGAAAAGGCCTGTAAGGCCCTTGTATGCTCTCAGGTAGAATATGCCGTCGTAGTATGGACCCTTACTTGTAAAAAGATAGACAAGGTTGAGATGATCCAGTGCAGGGCCGCTCTTTTCGTTGTAAATTGCAATCCTAACATCTGAAAGGGCAAACCTTGCAGGCCACAGAAAAGATGCGAGGTTGGTAATGTTTTGCATAATATACAATTAAAAAATTGCCATTAAGTCCAAACATCTCAGACCAACTCCAGGACAAACTAGGTAGAGTCATCAATTTTCCCACCAAACTATTTCTTGTAAAACAACTGTCAGGAGAGAATCCTTCTTTCCTTGAACAATCTGAGAATTAAACAACCTCCTTTCCGAAACTGTCTCTGCTAAATCCTTACTTTCCTTCAAAGTTGCGATTTCTGCCCATCAATATTAATTCTGTTACCGTCTATTCATAGTATGCATTTTGTCTCTCTCAAACATGACATAACCTTTGTTTAGTTGAAGTAGGTAACTACTTAGTAGAAGTATAAAGCCTTTTGTGTGTGTAATAAGGGAGCTGTCCAATGTCTCTACACCTCCGACACACATGCTCCCGACACGTATGCTGCTGCCACACACACACCATGTGTGCACACAGTAGGTTCAGAGAAGGCAGTTGCCAGCTAGAACTTTCGTTAATTTCAAATTGTGGTCATATAGCTTTTCTTCAGCATGGAATTGCCAGCCGTCACAACAAATCCTCTCTGTCTTGTAGGGTACAACAAACCGATAAATGCCCTACAGCAGTGACATTGCTTTGTAAACAAATAGACAGCTATTGCTTAGTAGCATCTATACAACAGGAAGCATATGCTGAAGAAAAGCTCTACCCTACCAAAATATATGACAGATATAAAACAACAAGGTCATGCTTTATCAGTAATAACAATATGAGAGGTAAAGAATCTGTTCTCTCACAGAAAAAGAAACCTCTGGTGGGTAAATTCTGAAAATGATTTCACTAGCCTTATTATGATTTTACTGCCACTCAGGTTATGCTTTGCTGGGTGGAAATTTAACACATTACCTTTTACTTCAAGTCAAAGAAGGGATGGACAATAAAGTAATGCTACTTGGTAGTCTACTGAATGGCAATAAATGTGTTTGAACTTATTATGTAGCATGGGGTTTATAATCAGATAAGAGTGTTATCTTTGAAATAAATGCTCATTATGATAGATTTTTCTGGATTAGTTCATTTTTTGAGGTCATGAGAAACTGATTGATATTGTCAATGCCAAATTTTTCCAAGACGCAGTTAGTCAGTAAATTAAAAGTAAGGATTAAATCTTGTAACTAATAGACTAGTCAGGAAAAAGGTTTGTGATGTACCTGGTAAGAAAATTTTACAGTAGACTAGCTAGGAAAAAGGTTGTGATGTATTAGGTAAGAATTTTCTACAGTATGGTACTTTTCTAATATTCCATACTTTAAATCATGACCAGAGATGAAAGGTTTGTTTACATCATCAACATGGTAATGTCTGACATAACAAAAATCATGACAATTTATGATAATTGATGAAACATGTATATTTTTCTGTTTTTTCCCCTTAGCACACTGTGTTGATCTTTGAAGAAAAATCTCATCAAGTAGGGAAAGGATTATCAGCAAGATCTGTTTACCATAATCAGTAAGCATGTCGATGAGGACCAAGATCAATGGCTACACTGCCTGGGTAAATCTGCGGCTGATGCCATATGACCACCTACTAAACAATGCTCTAATGGATCTACTCACAGGAACTCACATGAAGTTCCTTCTGGAAAGCATCACTGGTCGAGACATAAAACGACTGGAGAGCTTTGATGAGTAAGATTGATTTTTATTCTTTCTAAATTTCATTCTCATGTATGCTAGTTGTATTCATCATAGAAATCTCCTGTTAGTATTGACCATGTACAGGTGTTGATACATCAAATCTCCTGTTAGTATTGACCATGTACAGGTGTTGATACATCAAATCTCCTGTTAGTATTGACCATGTACAGGTGTTGATACATCAAATCTCCTGTTAATATTGAGCATGTATAGGTGTTGATACATCAAATCTCCTGTTAGTATTAACATATATAGGTGTTGATACATCAAATCTCCTGTTAGTATTGAGCATGTATAGATGTTGATACATCAAATCTCCTGTTAGTATTGAACATATATAGGTATTGACACATTAAATCTCCTGTTAGTATTGAATATGTATAGGTGTTGATACATCAAATCTCCTGTTAGTATTGAACATGTATAGGTGTTGACACATGAAATCTTCTGTTAATATTGAACATACATATATAGGTATTGACACATTAAATCTCCTGTTAGTATTGAATAGGTATAGGTGTTGATACATCAAATCTCCTAATAGTATTGAACATATATAGGCGTTGATACATTAAATCACCTGTTAGTATTGAACATATATAGGTGTTGACAAATTAAATCTCCTGTTAGTATTGAACATTTATAGGTGTTAACACTTTAAATCTTTGTTAATATTTAACATTTATACATGTCGATACATCAGTAATGTTAGAATTAGTATTTTTGACAAGTGTTTTCCTATTAACAAGTTGAGCTGATCTAATTGCAGCCTTTCCCAGCAGCAGAAACAGACACGGGTAGAGTGGGTAGTGGATGAACTGAAGACATGCCAAGTTCTACCAGACGATGTTGTTGTTGACTCTAGACTATTTGCTATGAGGAGTGCAGACCATGTATGTCTTAAGTTTGTTTGATAATAAAAGCAGTCTTCAGAAGCCATATTGTGAATACATTGTGGTATAATCTTGTTTATCTCTGTTGATTTGTCAACAGTATTATGTTCATTATATATCACAATTTCCAACCATATTCCCACAATTTTCATGAGATTTTAGTGTCAAATATCAAAGGTGTCATAGCATTATTTATAATTATCTAAGATTGTTTTTTTTTTTTACTAAAAATCGCTTCAAGTCATAAACAACTGAGAGGATTTTGACCAAATTTAGTTGGAAGCATTCTTAGGGAACGGGGAACTAAGTTAGTATAAATGGTGGGTTTTGGCCCGTATGGGTCTGAGGGGCAGGCCCAAAAAGGGGGAATAATTTATATAAACGGTGGGTCTTAGACCCTTGGGGCAGCAGAGATGGGGCCCAATGGGGAAATAGTGGGAATTCTTTAAAATCCCACTTCTGTAGGAATTATTGGATTTTGCTCATATTTGGTTTGAAGCATTGTTGAAAGAAGGTCAGTCAATGTTGTATAAATTGCGAGTCTCAAGGGCCCCCTAAGGCAGGAGGGGTGGGCCCAAATAGCGGAAATGGAGGAAATTCTTAAAATTCTGTAGGAATGATTTTAATTTTTCCAAATGGTCTGAAGCATTCTTAGGTGAAGGGAAATCATTTTTGTATAAACTGTGGATCTTGGTCTCCTGAGGCCATAGGGGTGGGGCCCTTGTTAGGGAGATATAGCAAATTATTTTAAATCCTATTTCTCCTCTCTTGTTTATGCTAGGTATACATGCTACAGAAATATTTCTATTCTAAAATCAAAATAATTCCTCCATCCATTTGGTTAATATGTAATGAATTGAATTTGATATTTTCCCCATGTTTTATTCTTTTAGACTTAAGATTAGACTGGAACACTTCCTATGTATTTCATCAATACACTGAGTTTGTATCTGTTGCATATTATTGTGTATTAATTGTTGGCAGGTGTTTGATCTGCTGTGGAGATTGATCAGCCATGATATATGGTTTGTGTGGGAGAGGGCTGAATACCTACAACATGTAGACATGGATGTCCTCACACAGATTCCATTCAAAGTAAGAGAGTCAAACAGTCCTGCGATGTGTTGAAATTTGTGACATCATATCATGACTATACTGCCACATCACCAGTAAACAGATAAATTGTCTCTTTCACTTGTGAATAAGTTCAACCTCCAGTTGTGAAATTTACACACAACCTGTCAGCTATGTTTACTGTGCCTCTGTATTAACCTGCCAGTGGTCAGATTAATTATGTAATGATGTAAAAAGTTTTACAGGTTCATAAAATGATGACTCATTGATAAAAAATTTTAATATACAATTATGATCTGTTTGTTTTATTAAGTGGACTCCAGACCCACCCCCTAAAAAGAAGAAAAGCAAGAAGCCTAAGAAATCCTTACTGTCAGGCTTTGGATCTGGATCTGCTGCAGGAGATGACAGTGTAAGCATTCACTTTCCTATCATTTTCTTTCTATCATTTTCTACCAAAAATATTCATAATACTGCTCCATACAGTCATCCAATGTCAAACATAGGAATGAAAGTATCCCCATATTTGTTGAAGGTTTAATTCACATTTTTGTTACAGGTTTAGTTCTAAATAATAATGCAAATTTTTCTTGACATGTAATATGATTTCTAACTGTAGTACTTTTTTTGTATTGTCCTTTATGTTATGTTATACACTGTACTGACCACCTAGTTTATTGATAGATTCTGGTACATTGGATGACCAGTAATAATTACCATGGTAATATTGCTAGTTGATCCAGAATTGCTGATAAACTTAGTCACTTCCTTAAACTGGGAGGTATATATGAATTATACGAATTTACATGACTAAGATTGATTAACTATCTCATATTGTCATAAACATGTCTAGTAACATGTATTTCTTCTAGTTATACAAATTGAAGCAACTTGTCCACACTGTTACACAGAAATTATGAATTTCATAATGAATGATTAAAAGTATTTGTCAGTCAACATGATATAAAAATACCCTAATCATATTTTGATCACACAATAGTTCTGTTGTAACGTATCTACAAAATGAATTAACTTCCTTTGTTAAAAAAGGCTATAACAAAACAAATGATTTCCTATATAAAACACCTATCATGTAATTTTCAAGAGTTGTTGTGCAGGGAATTAGCCCTATGAGTGGTGTGAGTAAGCGATGACATGGAGATGTTTGACAATGAGGTGTGACAGAGACGTGATCAAAAGATGTGGTAGAGAATACAGGATGTGACAGATTGTAACATGAAATGATAGATTGGGACAATATGTGACAGGGGTTATAGTGTGACAGGGTGTACGAGTGTGTGAAAAGAAGTAATGGTTGTGACAGGGTGTGATAGATTGAGATGATATGTGACAGGGGTAATAATGTGACAGGTTGTAACAGAGTGGGATAATTGAGACAATATGTGACAGGAGCAATAGTGTGACAGGCTGTACGAGTGTGTGAAAAGAAGTAATGGTTGTGACAGGGTGTGATAGATTGAGATGATATGTGACAGGGGTAATAATGTGACAGGTTGTAACAGAGTGGGATAATTGAGACAATATGTGACAGGAGCAATAGTGTGACAGGCTGTAAGAGGGTGTGAAAAGAAGTAAAGGGTGTGACAAGATGTGATAGATTGAGACAGGGTGTGACAGGGTGTAATGGTGTGACAGGATGTAACATGTGATAGGATGTAACAGAGAGTAACAGGGTGTGACAAGATGTGATAGATTGAGACAAGGTGTGACAGGGCGTAACAGTGTGAGAGGATGTAACAGAGAGTAACAGGGTGTGACAGGACATAACAGTGCGATAGGATGTAACAGAGAGTAACAGGGTGTGACAAGATGTGATAGATTGAGACAAGGTGTGACAGGGCGTAACGGTGTGAAAGGATGTAACAGAGAGTAACAGGGTGTGACAAGATGTGATAGATTGAGACAAGGTGTGACAGGGCGTAACGGTTTGATAGGATGTAACAGAGAGTAACAGGTTGTGACAGGGGGTAATGGTGTGACAAGACGTAACGGTGTGATAGGATGTAACAGAGAGTAACAGGTTGTGACAGGGGTAAATGGTGTGACAGGACGTAACGGTGTGATAGGATGTGACAGAGAGTAACAGGTTGTGACAGGGTGGTTCTGAATGTGGAATAAATCCTACTACCTTTAAAAATCCTGCTGATTGATGTTCATGTGAAAAGCTATATTTAGATGATGCTTATTGTTATAATTTTGACATTTATTATACATGTATAGAAATGTTTAACTTATATTCCTGTGTAGGGTACTTTAGACTCAATTGATCTGAGTTCACCATCACCAATAATGGTTTGTTACACTTAATGACCTTGTTTTCTGTCACTCTGGGAATGTGGTATTTCATAGTCTGTACACTTCTGAAATGGTCACCTGTTGACTTTTATTGTATCAGATTAATTTTCTCTTAATTTCCTAATGTGGTGATATCATTCTTTTAAATCTGAAACTTTGAACATATACCTGTGATTTAAGATAATTTCTGAATGGGCTATAGGCGTTTCCTAATTTGCTGTTGATGACATTAAAGAAACATGTACCTTTCTTTTCTATAGAATCTGATTTCTACTTGGTATGGGGAATATCTTGGTTGTGTTTGACACAATGTTTTGCTGGGATTGTAGTGTTTGGGGCTTATTAAAGAAACTGCAATGTATTTTATCATTAACACAATGGGGATTGGTATTTCTGTGTGTTTCTTTCTAACAAATGGAACTGTTGAGTAAATCGCTGATTTAATGGACTAACAATTATTGTGGTTTAACAAGATTAGTTAATTGGTTACTTTATTACATATTTACCTGACAGGAGGTAGTCTTTAGATCATGAGGTTAAACTTCAAAGTTAATCATAGACACCAAACAGGAATTATTATGTTAGACGCTCAATATGTGACACATTAAACATGACAGGTATGACAGCAGTACATATATATATGTAGACAAAAGATAAAAAACTTGTCAAGTTTTGCAAGTTTTTAATATCATTTTGATTAGTAACTTTGATGTCAGTTTTTAAATTGTGTTTAACAAATTTGCTTAACCTTGCACAATTTCCTTAGCAGAGAAAATATCTACACCTTTACTTTCTTATAAATACTTTAATTTCTGGCATGCATAACTATGTATAAATTAACTTTTCAGTTGGAGTGTAATTGTCATGTAGATTATTTCATTAAGTGAACTATCTAATATTTTGTGGTTTATCATAAATTAGCATAATTGAGTTGTTTGTGTAGTGATGGTTAGTTGTATAGATTATAGCAACGGTGACTTTTTTACTGATCAACAATTACTTTGATAGTGAAGTACACTGTAAGTCAATTTTATGATAGTGTACCATGGTATTACCAACTTAATTACATTTTGATTACGAATATAAACCAAATATTACCTAATGCTAATAACATTCAATAATAATAATAATGAAGGGCATGTCCTTTTGCACTAAGAAATTCAGCATATAATGTCTGATAATTGATCGCTGTTTTTTAATGATTTTTATACAGTATTTTACCAGGTGTGTAATGATTTTGTAGACAGGTGTGTAATTTTTCATGGAACAGGTGTATGATTTTTTATAGACAGGTGTGTAATTTCTATTGTTTTTTATAGAACAGATGTGACAAATAAATTGGACAACGTGTGATATTTTTATTTCCTTTCTCCAGGCAGATGATGTTATGGATGACTGGGTTAAATACCCTAATGCTGAATGGGTAAAAAATTTCAAAAAGAAGAAAAGGGAAATTGGCAACTACCCTAGTCCTGATGAATGTATCTTGGAAATGGTTAACTACCAACTCAAGGTAAATACACCAGCCACAACAGGACTTTAAGGAATGCAACCTGGAGTGATGACATTCCTTTCAAAATGATAGTCTCCATCTTGAAATTGATAGAACAATTGTTTTTCACAATATGCCAAATGTTTTGGGAGATCTTTTAAAAATACCTTTTGCAGAGAAGTTTATACTGTATTATATTAAGGGACATCTTTCACCTTGGTATCATTGTGATACTATTTTATAAAAAACCCATTTGCTGGATTACAGAAATACGTAAATTTTGATTTGTAGGAATCAATAGAATATTAAGCATTAACACATGCTAATTATTACATAACAAGGTGTTTTTGTCACAATGTTGGATTGATTTGTTTCAGACGACGAGAGATGGAAGAAATCTGAGTTGTCATGTAAGTTATCTCAGTTCAGGGAACAGTGCTTGAAGTGATGATATCACATTTACAAAAAGAATGTATACAGAAAATCATGGCAGATCAAGCTGTAATGAAAGTAATAAGCAGGAATAATAAAGGAATGTTTTGTAACAAAAAATTACCATAGATATTTTATAGAGAGCTCTGTTATTATACTTTAACTGGTAGTATATTTTTTGTCAGGTTTTCATCAATTTGACAGTGATTGAATTAAAAAACAAATTTATCATGTATGTAGTGAGAGAAAAAAAATACCATCATATCTTTTGGTTCACTACTTTCCTGTTACAAAATGTAATATGGCATGTGGTAGACACCTTATTTGTTCAGTGTTATGTATTTTTTAAAGATTTTTATAAACTGGATATTTGTAGGAAGATACACATAACTTGGATATCCGTGGTACTTATAACAGAAAATGGTATGATCTCACCTTAATGTTGTATGTATTTTCAATAATTGCATGCTGTTTATTTGGTGAATTTATTTGATTGGGTAATGCTAGATAACATGAGCTATGTCAGTAGGACATCTTCAGAGATGTGTCAAAACAGATAGTATTACAGGTAAATATGGTACACAGTTTACTTTATACATCATATTTATTAAAATGTGAACTGAGTACGAAGAGGGTTTGTAATCTGTTTCTATTTCAGACAATTGATGACTTTGTCGACAGTAGAGTGTTATGTGCCCTTGTCAATTCTTTTGTACCCAACACATTTACCACTGACCTCCTCCTCAATGACAGGTAAAGAAAATATCAAACAGTATCAAGTGTCCAAAATATACAACCCTATTCATACTTCATGACTTCCTCCCTTCTCGTGCAATATCTGCTTATCAAGAGTACATACTTTGTATCTTGAAATTGTAAATAAATTTCTTGTGCTTACTCAGTTACCATTTTTGCAAAGAATACTTGGATATTTAGCTTTTGATCAATTTTCATGTCACATATATGAATTGAATATTTATATCTGTATCACTCAGTTCACTTAAAGATTGTAAACAGCTTATTGGTACTTGGTTATACATCTAACTTTGCAGCACTGTTTCTGTATCACCACATTCTCAATAACAAAATTGTATGGTATGAAATATTTTCCTGGCTGTTGTATACTGCACTATATTACATGTTGTTGCATGCTGTTTGTAGATGGACCATAAACCTTGCACTGCGTACTGCAGAAAAAATGTTTTATGCAGAAACACCATTTGATTCTGAGGACTTAGTTGAGGTATTGAAATAGAGTTCCTTGATATTGAAATGAATGCCATGTAATGTTTATTTCATAATTTCCTAGTTATGTTTATCTTATTATTTACTAGTTATCTTTATTTCATCATTTTCTAGTAATCATGTATAATCATCATTTTCTTTACCTTACACATTCATATATGTTGAAAGGCAAAGATAATCGTCGGTGCATAGGATGTAATGAGCCATTCACGGTGAAACAACTTTTATCGGACTGCATTGATCTTCTGTTTACTTGATTTGAAACTGTTCAGATTTTTAAAATTCTAGATTATCTGAAAGGTTTTGGTCTATATTATAGGATATGACTCACTATCTTAATCTTTTGTGTTATTGTAACCTTTTCAGACTTTTAGTATTAGTCTTTAACCTTTAAGTTTGTTTGATATTACTTCCTTTTGGATCGCAGTGTCTTTCACCGGTTGATGGCCCTAATAACCTTATATGTGTTGACGGGCTGTTAAGAATGTAATAATATTAATAATCATTCATCATTTTCTAATTATCTTTATTTCCTTATTTCCTAGTTATCTTTATTTTATCATTTCCTACTTATATTTATTTCATCATTTTCTGGATATCATTTATTTCATCAATTCTTAGTTATCTATATTTCATCTATTCCTAGTTATCTTTATTTTATCATTTCCTAGTTGTCTTTAGTTATCATTTATTTCATCATTTCCTTGTTTTCTTTATTTCACCAATTCATATTTATCTTTATTTCATCATTTCCTAGTAATCTTTATTTCATGAATTCCTAGTTATCATTTATTTTATCATTTCCTAGTTGTCTTTATTTCACCGATTCCTAGTAATCTTTATTTCATCAATTCCTAGTTATCTTTATTTCACCAATTCCTAGTTATCTTTATTTCATTATTTTCTAGTTATCTTTATTTCATCTTTTTGTATCTATCTCTATTCATCATTTCCTAGTTATCTTTATTTCATTAATTCCTAGTAATCTTTATTTCATGAATTCCTAGTTATCATTTATTTTATCATTTCCTAGTTGTCTTTATTTCACCAATTCCTAGTAATCTTTATTTCATGAATTCCTAGTTATCTTTATTTCACCAATTCCTAGTTGTCTTTATTTCACCAATTCCTAGTTATCTTTATTTCACCAATTCCTAGTGATCTTTATTTCACCAATTCCTAGTTATCTTTATTTCATCATTTCCTAGTTATCTTTATTTCACCAACGAGTTATCTTTATTTGATTATTTCCTAGTTATCTTTATTTCACCAATTCCTAGTTATCTTTATTTCACCAATTCCTAGTTATCTTTATTTCATTATTTCCTAGTTATCTTTATTTCACCAATTCCTAGTTGTCTTTATTTCACCAATTCCTAGTAATCTTTATTTCACCAATTCCTAGTTATCTTTATTTCACCAATTCCTAGTAATCTTTATTTCACCAATTCCTAGTTATCTTTATTTCATCATTTCCTAGTTATCTTTATTTCACCAATTCCTAGTTATCTTTATTTCATGATTTCCTAGTTATCTTTATTTCACCAATTCCTAGTTATCTTTATTTCACCAATTCCTAGTTATCTTTATTTCACCAATTCCTAGTTATCTTTATTTCATTATTTCCTAGTTATCTTTATTTCACCAATTCCTAGTTGTCTTTATTTCACCAATTCCTAGTAGTCTTTATTTCACCAATTCCTAGTTATCTTTATTTCACCAATTCCTAGTAATCTTTATTTCACCAATTCCTAGTTATCTTTATTTCACCAATTCCTAGTTGTCTTTATTTCACCAATTCCTAGTTATCTTTATTTCACCAATTCCTAGTAATCTTTATTTCACCAATTCCTAGTTATCTTTATTTCATCATTTCCTAGTTATCTTTATTTCACCAATTCCTAGTTATCTTTATTTCATTATTTCCTAGTTATCTTTATTTCACCAATTCCTAGTAATCTTTATTTCACCAATTCCTAGTTATCTTTATTTCACCAATTCCTAGTTATCTTTATTTCATTATTTCCTAGTTATCTTTATTTCACCAATTCCTAGTTGTCTTTATTTCACCAATTCCTAGTAGTCTGTATTTCACCAATTCCTAGTTATCTTTATTTCACCAATTCCTAGTAATCTTTATTTCACCAATTCCTAGTTATCTTTATTTCATCATTTCCTAGTTATCTTTATTTCATCATTTCCTAGTTATCTTTATTTCACCAATTCCTAGTTATCTTTATTTCATTATTTCCTAGTTATCTTTATTTCACCAATTCCTAGTTATCTTTATTTCACCAATTCCTAGTTATCTTTATTTCACCAATTCCTAGTTATCTTTATTTCATTATTTCCTAGTTATCTTTATTTCATCATTTCCTAGTTATCTTTATTTCATTATTTTCTAGTTATCTTTATTTTATCTTTTTGTATCTATCTCTATTTCATCATTTTCTAGTAATCTTTTAAGTGGATAATTGACAGAATTGTTGCATCAATGATTTATACATTAATTAGCAGTATTAAGATATGTCTTATCACAAGACAAAACATATGTATCAACTTTATGACCTTATAAAGAGGTATTAATTGTTTCACCTGGCAGAAGGACAAGCTATAATATCATTAGTCCAATTAACTTCTTATTTGCTTTTAATTATATTTATATGATGGCCATGTTTCTAGGCTGATCCAACAGCAGTGTGTGCTTATTTCTGTTTTTTCCTGATGATGGCATACAAATACCGCCAATGTAAGGCTGCTGTTAGCCGTGTAGTAAGTATGCATCGTGTCCTGTTATGAATCATGGTCATATCTTGAGAGCCTTACATTAGGTTCTGAATTAATTATTAAATATTTTGGAGGGGGTTCAGTGATGAGCATGATCAGTATCTTGTAATCTCCATCAAATAAACCGGTAAATGTTTATCAAGGTGTTAAAATGTATGCATTGTTAATCAAATTAACAGATTGATTCAGCTTAAACATTTGAATGTACACCAAGATATCACTAACATATCAGGAGAAATGGTTCTTATAAGGGAGATAACTTGGGAACATGTATTTGATTGTGACTTAGCACTAACAGATACAGGTACATGTATTTGAGTATGACTTAGCAGTAACTGATAGGGGTACATGTATTTAATGATGACTGAGCAGTAACTGATAGGGGTACATGTATTTGATGGTGACTTAGCAGTAACTGATAGGGGTACATGTATTTAATGATGACTGAGCAGTAACTGATAGGAGTACATGTATTTGATGGTGACATATCAGTAACTGATAGGGGTACATGTATTTGATGGTGACTTAGCAGTAACTGATAGGAGTACATGTATTTGATGGAGACTTAGCAGTAACTGATAGGGGTACATGTATTTGCTGGTGAATGAGCTGTAGCTGATAGAAGAAGATACAAATTGACTGAGAACATTTCTTGTTTTATCCAGGATTACATCAGCATGTTGATCAGGGAGTGTAATCATGAGATTAGTAAGTTCCCAGCTATTGTATCAAACATGCAGGAACTCCAGCGTAGGAAGGAGGTGAAGACTGAGATAGAACAACACAAACAAGGTAGGTATTCTTACAGCTACAGCAGGTCTCTTTATTTCACAAACAAGGTAGATATTCTTAAAGCTACAGCAGGACTCTTTATTTCACAAACAAGGTAGATATTCTTAAAGCTACAGCAGGTCTCTTTATTTCACAAACAAGGTAGATATTCTTAAAGCTACAGCAGGACTCTTTATTTCACAAACAAGGTAGATATTCTTAAAGCTACAGCAGGTCTCTTTATTTCACAAACAAGGTAGATATTCTTAAAGCTACAGCAGGTCTCTTTATTTCACAAACAAGGTAGATATTCTTAAAGCTACAGCAGGTCTCTTTATTTCATTTGTTGCACATGTTAAGTTTAGAGGCTGATTTGAAGAATAAGACCAATAACTAAAAATCTTACAGCTGTTTGCAGCTATTGCAGATTGCTTCTGTCTCTTTTTCAGATTTAGAAAGTAGTTATATTTTTGACATTTGTAGAGAGTTGCAATATCCTTTTTGACTTTTCAAAAGTTTTTCATTGTTATGAAATTTATTGATCAATGTCCAATAAGTTGTGCATGGTCATTTTGTCATTGTTGCTCAGTATTTGTCTTTTTCAAAGGAATACACACTCAATTAAAATTTAATTATGAATTCTATGCTTTACGCCAGCCATTTTATTAGGATTGGCAATGGTGTACCCCATGTCTATCACATCTCATTCAGAATCATTATCATATCTTGAGAATCTCTCAACAGATTTGGTTCATGTATACCAATGAGTATCATAACATCAAGTCCTACACCTTATCAAGGTGGTCATTTTACAAAATTAAAGGGTCTAATTCCTATTTAACACCTTTTGCACTTTCATCAAGCATTGCTACTGGATATGTGTGGTGTACTACCGAAAGCCTCTATCCCTACTGTGGTGTACTACCGAAAGCCACTATCCCTACTGTGGTGTACTACCGAAAGCCTCTATCCCTACTGTGGTGTACTACTGAAAGCCTCTATCCCTACTGTGGTGTACTACTGAAAGCCTCTATCCCTACTGTGGTGTACTACCGAAAGTTGCAATATCCTTTTTGACTTTTCAAAAGTTTTTCATTGTTATGAAATTTATTGATCAATGTCCAATAAGTTGTGCATGGTCATTTTGTCATTGTTGCTCAGTATTTGTCTTTTTCAAAGGAATACACACTCAATTAAAATTTAATTATGAATTCTATGCTTTACGCCAGCCATTTTATTAGGATTGGCAATGGTGTACCCCATGTCTATCACATCTCATTCAGAATCATTATCATATCTTGAGAATCTCTCAACAGATTTGGTTCATGTATACCAATGAGTATCATAACATCAAGTCCTACACCTTATCAAGGTGGTCATTTTACAAAATTAAAGGGTCTAATTCCTATTTAACACCTTTTGCACTTTCATCAAGCATTGCTACTGGATATGTACATGGAACCAGGAACATTCACGTCCGACAGACATATTCTATGATGTTTTTATTAACAGGTTATGGTTACTGGAAAATCTTCAGTAAAGGGATATTTTTACCTTTACTTAAATTAATTATCTTTATCAAAGACTATAATTTCTAACACTATATATTTTTCACAGCTCTGGAGAAGTTCAATAGCCGTTTTGATATTCCCTACTGTAAGAAGTGGTTAAACCATGTGGAATTTGTACAGAATGAGGTATGTATATTCCTCTGTTATACAGAGATTGAAGACACACTGAATGATAAATAATTCTCTATCCCTACTGTGGTGTACTACCGAAAGCCTCTATCCCTACTGTGGTGTACTACCGAAAGCCTCTATCCCTACTGTGGTGTACTACCAGAAGCCTCTATCCCTACTGTGGTATACTACCGAAAGCCTCTATCCCTACTGTGGTATACTACCGAAAGCCTCTATCCCTACTGTGGTGTACTACCGAAAGCCTCTATCCCTACTGTGGTGTACTACCGAAAGCCTCTATCCCTACTGTGGTGTACTACCGAAAGCCTCTATCCCTACTGTGGTGTACTACCGAAAGCCTCTATCCCTACTGTGGTGTACTACCGAAAGCCACTATCCCTACTGTGGTGTACTACCGAAAGCCTCTATCCCTACTGTGGTGTACTACTGAAAGCCTCTATCCCTACTGTGGTGTACTACTGAAAGCCTCTATCCCTACTGTGGTGTACTACCGAAAGCTGCTTGTTTTAACTATATAATTCACTCATGAATCTCTATCAAATATGAAGTTGAACAAGGATCAATCTTCTAGTGACTTCATTTCACAAGCAGAAAGCACTGCGTGATATTATTTGACATTTAACTCTTGAACAAAATAATAACTATAGAGATTTTATTTCCAATGAATTTTACCACTTTTTGGTAAACAAAACAAAGTATTATGATGTGCTGTCATGAATTTTTTATCTTTTGTTAGGTGAATAAATTCTCTTTGTACATCTGGTTGTTATGTGACTGAATTCTCTGTGTAGATCATGTTATCATGACACTGAATATGCTGTGTAGGTCCTGTTGTTATGTGACTGAACTCTCTGTGAAGGTTCTGTGTAGATCATGTTATCATGAAACTGAATTTTCTGTGTAGGCCCTGTTGTTATGTGACTGAATTCTCTGTGTAGGTCCTGTTGTTATGTGACTGAATTCTCTGTGTAGGCCCTGTTGTTATGTAACTGAATTCTCTCTGTAGGTGAGGAGACAAATCAGAGAGAAGATGAAGAGTCGGTTTGACATGATAACTGCCCCACGCAACATCACAGTGAATGACATGTGTCTATCATGTGTTATCAACCTGGTTAGTATGATGAAATACCAACTGATACAAATCTTTACCTGTGTGATTAGTGTTTGTACATAAACTGTATACTGAAATTCATACAGCTTTCACATATATGAGCTGTATTGGATTTGCATAAAAAAATGTTTGATATCTTCTTGTATGATATAACTGTATGTAAAACATTGATGGGTAAGTGTATGTGTTTGTATGTGTGGTAAAAAGAGAGGAATAGATTGAACGCAGCACCTCACAAAAAGTTTGATCGCCATAACCTTCTAGCACACCTGAGACAAAGTCTAATTGTTACCTATGACAATACCCATTTGTCTACCGTTTTGAGTCGTCCGTCTATAATTTTTTTTACATTTTTGACTTCTGGAAAACCCCTGAACCGATTTCATTGAATCTTGGTAGAAACCTTCCATGGCCAAAGATTAACCAATAATGTAAGGGAGGGAGTAAATAGACTATTATTTATACAGGAAAATTACATTTGTTTGATTTCTTTTAGAAATAGATCAGACTTAGTTAGATTTATTAGCATCTGATGACAGTTTGATGTTATGCTCATAATGACTCTGGCTAACCCCCAGGAGCTGATGGATGAGGCCAAAAAGACTAAAATTGACCAAAATTTCAAAAATCTTCTTTATGGTAGAATCAAATACTCTTCGTGTATGGAAGGGTCTTAAGGTAAAACTATTCTGTTCCTGTACAAATAGCATTTCTCATTTTCTCTTCTCTGTACCACACATTCATTCCAATTGTTTCAGTTTTTTATTTCCTCTGGTGACTTTTAAGCCCCTGGGCCGCTTGTTGGTGTAAAACAGAAAATCTATTGAGAGATGTCAGATTCCTCATAGAAATTGCCTTTGATGTACCAAACATTGATAAATGTTGTTTTTGTTTTTCAGACACTCACAAATGGCTCAGGATTTTACTTAGCAAGCAATAAGGAAGTTTTGGGTGATGGAAGGAAAGTTGTCCTGAGAGCCAAAGAAACTGGGGACTTCATTGACGATTTCAGTACTGGACGTTCCCGAGGTTACTATACATCAAGATTATCAATAATTAAAATTATTTTCTTTCCAATAAATTTTTCAGGTCATCTGTGTGATATATTCCCAGGGTGTTCTGGAATAGGATTTAAGGGAAACAAATTTGTGTATTCTGTGTCAGTTAAAGTTTCACGACCTCTAATGATTGAATACTTGTCTGCAGTGTCCCACGATATATTGTACATATAGGCATATAGATGGATAGCATCAAAATTTATTTAACCCAGATTCATAATAAGTGTATGTAATTTTGTTGAAAGTATCTACAACCATTTAAAATAGATTAGATTTCTGCATGTTTGCAGATTTTTTCTGTCACAAAGCAAAAATGTTTTTCCTAGCTGATCGCAATTATAGACAGATAGATTAAATCAGTAATTTAGATACTGTGGATGTGGACTTAATCCTGTATAAACAATTATTATACTTTATTGTATTTATTCTAAGGCTTCAAGTATGACAATCTGTTCATTGTTCAGCTTAATCAGTATGCCATATAGAGCATTAGGTATACCTGTGCATCCCGAATAAATTGTATGAAAACAATCTGTTGTATTATACAAGCAGTAGGTGTATGTTAGTTACATGAAGAAGGTGTATTTATATTGAGTATGCATTAATTCCAAGATAAAAGTTTGATTTTTAATTGCTTATACTCCGAGTGCTTTAAAAAAACTTTTTCAATGCAAATTACTACACAAAGGCATTCAGTAGTCTTGTCATTTAGAAATAATGTTCTAAATGTTAAGATATTTGTTTGAACATTTGTGGTATCAATGGCATGGAGTAGGTGACCTTGATGTTCCTTAATGTTGTTTTTTGTTACTTTCAGGGCCGACTGTCAGAGAAATTTTAAAGGTAGCTGATGCTGGTGTAGTGGAACTTTACCCTGATAATTACCCAGAGATTGAGGTACTAAAATTGTACATCTTGTTGGTGTAGAAACAGAAATTTATATTACTACTGTCGTGAATCGTTTATCAGTGTAACAGATTTTGAATGTTCTCCCTTTGAACTTAAGTACTATACAACTCGCTGTGTAGAATATAATACCTGATCAGTGTACAACTGTTCATTCAATATGTTACATGTGAAATCAGTTGGTATTGGTGAAAAATTTATCTTTTACAGGGTATTCAGCATACACGAATGTAGTTGAACCTATCGTAAAGAAGACTTGTATATATATATAATGAATACCTGTGTTAAGGCCATTTTAGTACAAGTCAAATTAATTGAATATCTATATAAAGACATTTGTCTGTAAAGCATACTTTTCTTTGTGACCTTTTGACCTTTATAAACAGATTGATTGTATCTGGTGTGCTTTTGAGTATGAGCAGCCCCATCCACCTACCAATGTCAGACAATTACCAGAGACCAGTGATAAATACAGACCAGAGAACACCATTCCATACCCCTGTTATTTCCCTTACAGATCTTTGTTGAATCCCAGAGTCGGAACAAGCTCCTGAAGGCAGGCACTGTGTTCCTGTATCAGGTCTTCCCTGGTAACACCACCACCTGGCAGAGACTCTTCATCAAGTCAGCTCGAGAGAATGAGTTTGAGACTGTTCAAAAGATGATTGTATTCTTCCAAAGTAATCCATCCTTCATCAATGCTAAAGAACCAAAAACTGGGAACACTGCTCTTCATTGGGCCTGTAGGAATGGTCTATTTGTAAGTAAAGGCTAAACTCACCCTTCAACCTCCATGTATACAGCCAGCTGATATTTTACTCAACCTCTGGAAATATAGTGAGCAGTCACTTGTTATAAAATCAAAAACCCTCCACAAATATATCACCTATTATGATACCCACCCTCCACAAATATATCACCTATTATGATACCCACCCTCCACAAATATATCACCTGTTATGATACCCACCCTCCACAAATATATCACCTATTATGATATCCACCCTCCACAAATATATCACCTGTTATGATACCCACCCTCAACAAATTACAGAAGTAAGCTATTATAATACCCACCCTCCACAAATTACAGAAGTAAGCTATTATAATACCCACCCTCCACAAATTACAGAAGGAAGCTGATATAATACCCACCCTCCACAAATTACAGAAGGAAGCTGATATAATACCCACCCTCCACAAATTACAGAAGGAAGCTGTTATAATACCCACCCTCCACAAATTACAGAAGGAAGCTGTTATAATACCCACCCTCCACAAATTACAGAAGGAAGCTGTTATAATACTCACCTTCCACAAATTACAGAAGGAAGCTGTTATCATACCTACCCTCCACAAATAAGTCACCTGTTTTGAATCTCACTGTACAGAGATAAGTCACCTGTTTTAATACCCAACTTTTACAAATAAGTTGCCTGTTATAAGACCATCTGCACAAATATATCACCTGTGGTTACGCCTGACTTTCAATGTATGTAAACACTAAATACAGTGAAAGTAATCGTCATTACTGAAGGCTGTTAGTTCCTACACTTAAGGGATTACAAGGTTGCTTCTGTAAAACAACATGGCCTGTCACACAGATCTTCCTACTGAGCCAAAGAAGCATGCTCTGTTGGTGAAGTGACAGAGTCTGTTTAAACGCTATCTACAAGCCTCAATGAACTGCTACCTGTTGATAGTAAAAAGTTTATGAAAAAGAAAATTCTCCAACAAATTTAGCTTACATATCATCACAATAGGGTAACAAGGTCTTCAATTGATTACATTGTCATTAAAGTTAACAAGACTAATATTACTGCAGACAACTTTTTGTTATTAGAATTACTATCAAATGTATGTACTGGTATGTAATTCCTTTATATTCTTTATTTCATTCACACAGGACATGGTGTGCCTGCTGCTGGAGAATGGAGCCAATGTGGACTCAAAGAATTCTAATAAGAGTACCCCACTGTTTGCTGCCATCGAGGGATTACACAGGAAAATTTGCCATGTGAGTCTGTTTAATGATCAAAATAGTTATATAAGGTTCTTGGAGTTATTTAGTTTTTTTTTTATCAGATTTGATATCATCATACCATACTATATTTGCCATAATTATTGCCCAAGACACCTAAAAAATGGTTGTAAAGGGGGCACTTGTTAGGATAACAATACAAAAGTTCTAGACAAAAAATTTAGTAACGGTATTATAAATTAGTTAATAGATAATATCAACATCACTTATCAGTTTTTACATTATCTTTGATTTAAATTATCTTTCTCTTATACCTATTCATATGACAGAATTCTACAATTCTTATCATAAATTCTCATTACATTCTCTTTTACCAAACTTTGATATCACAGCATGATCAATGTCATCTTGGTTAATTCTTGAGTTTAAAATTGTCTGAGAGATCTTTCAAATTATATTACACAAATGAATGAAGAGTGTCATTATAACACCAGACAAGTTTCATCTTTAGTTCTATACCTACTGATTTCTAATTGTTGTTCCATTTTACAGCTGCTGATCGAATGGGGCTGTGATGTTCATTGCAAGAATGTCAAAAATCTGACTCCATTTGAGATGATAAAAAATGATGAGTTCAAACACTACCTGATAGGTATGCTTGTAATGTATTTTGTTTCTACCACAATATCAGTTTCCTGTTCAGTTTTTGATAAATACTTTATAATTGTTTACTTTGTTGGGCTAATATTTGCGGGCTGTCCCAGTTAGGACCGGTTATCAGCAATTTACTTTTGTCTGTAACAGTTTACATGAAAGCATGTTAATAAATTAGTGTTTGGTATAGACAGGTGTCTAATGTCTATTCTCTTAGATATGATTCACTGTAAAAACATTTCACACTGTCTTTAATGACTATGAATGTAGTGAAATCAAATTCCTGAGAATATTTCCAAGTGTAGAGTATAATATTTCCAAAGAAAAAAAAAAGTTTCCTTTTTATTTGAATGGTTTCAAGTAACCATGAGCTAATAATGTACCCTTTGCGCCCCATTCCAAAACTTAAAGGTTTTTAGGGTAAAGATTTTGAAAGCCTGCTAAGTTCATTAGTCTGCATCTCACACCTTTTTATTAAGTAAACAATCATTAAAGATTGAAGATTCCCTGACAATAATTGAATTCTTTTGTTTTTTAATTTTTTATGAAATTCACCATATCTTGAGGTAAGGTTTTGAAAGTTAGGTGTCTTAATTTCAGAAGTATACATCCAACATCCCTCCTATTTCATTGATACAATAATTCAATGTTTTATAATGTCAGTTTCCAGCAATCATTGAGTGTATTTATTTTGTTTTTATGCTTTTGATAGTAACTCCACTTGAATGAGGTATTACAGCTAAAACATTTTTTTTTTTGCACAGAGTTATATGGACACTATTCTGAAATTGTACCAAAGATCATGGAAGGTGACAAGGCGTTGTTAGATGATGTCATACACAAGCATGCTATCAAACAGAAACAGTTTTGTAGCCTCCGCAGTAGGTAAGTACTCTGCCATATTATGGCACTTAGCATTTATTGCTGTATGTGAGGAACAGTTTGTTCAACCCCACATCTTAAAATCATGTAAGCCAACTTTAACATTAAACTTTAGTTATGTTTTATTTTTACACACTTGGACAGCATCCTATTGTAGAGAATAAGATTTTTCTTCAAAACAATGTTACAGGTGTTATTACAATATCTATAATGAAGTTATCTAATCACTGTAGTCTATACCTGTATAGGTTCCTATAAACAAAAGATTCATAATAATAATATTATTTGAATGTTCAGATATTTAGATAAATTCATAAATTTGGATCACCAGGTGTATCAACGGAAGCACCCTATTGCACACAGCTGCCTATTACGGTAACGTGGCAGCTGTCAAGGAACTCATGCAGCTGAGAGTAGATGTAAACATCCGAGACTATAAGGGTGCTACTGCTCTCCACCGAGCCCGAAACAAAGACATCTTAGAGGTAAGTCTAACACAGTAAACAATTATTAGAGAATTTCATTTTGTTTGTACATTTAATTAAAAATTTTAATGTTGTATAAACATTGATTTAAAAAATGTGGAATGTCAAAATGCATGTGGAGAGGTTTATGGCGTCACAAATCCTTTAACATACAGGATGAACAATTTTTTGAATTATATGATTTGTCAGGTGTTGTTGGAGTCAGGGGCCAGTGTTGATGCTGAGGATGGAGAGGCTAATACTCCGCTCCATGTCAAGTGTTATGGAGAAACAAATGCTCCATCAGAAATAGCATCAATAGAAGTACTGCTTGCCAGGAATGCCAACCTTGCCAGAAGAAATATCAGGGTAAGTAAGACATATTGCGGTTTGTTCTTGAAATAGTATCAAAATAATTAAGGCACAAAGTGATTTGTATAAAAAAAAGAAATATCCAGGTTACTGTGATATATTATTCTAGTAATTGGTTTGTGAAGAAATTTCCTGCTACTGAAATTCAGCACTGGGATTTGTTTCTGAAAAAAATATCCACATAATCAATATACATTGTGATTGATTCCTGAAATAATAGCCAGGTAACTAAGACATACTGTGATTATTTCCTGTATTGTTTTATTCTGTCTGCTGTCTGTAAAAACAAAAATGCTGGAATAATTTATTCTTACTAATACTGTTACAGGAATTAGCCCAGTCATATATGTTGCTTTTCAGAAAAAACACAAACCAATATTATTTTATTATCCTGTTATAAGCCAACCAGGATGCAATAAGCAAGAAGTAATATGTTGACATCACAGCTTAATGCAAGATAGAAACAGACATCTATTGTATAATGATACCTGATTATTTAGTACTTATTTATAGATGTACATTTCCTAAAATCTCACACGCTAGCTAGTGGATTACATGTCAAATTATATCTTTGTTGAAGATTAAATGATGCAGAGATGAAGACTCAGAATTTTGACTTAAATTTATGTTTCAGGGCCTTCTCCCCATACATTGTTGTGCCATGCAGGGCCGTGTGGATGTGATTCGTCTGATGGTACGAGCCGACACTGAGAACAACATCTCGAAGGCCATCTCTGCAGAGGATGATAAAAAGCCACCTAGTCTGTTACATTTAGCTATTGCCAATGATTTCATAGAATGTGCAAAATGGTATGTTTGTTACAGATCTCTACTAATCTGTTATATATCAGATCATACATAAGTTTACATTTTTCATGTGATTTACTTTAACAAGTTTTTATTTTAGAGAGACTTTAGTGAGCAAAATGAAAAGTTTGTGATTGTTATCTGATATCACATATAAAATGGAAGTATTATTAGATCTTTTTACACATGATCAATTATTTTGATAAATATTGGTGAAAACATAGATATCCATGTCACACTTAAAGTCCTCTCTGCTTTGTGTCTTACATCTGCATTGTGATGTCCCAGTGTAATCTGCAAACATGTGATATAATTTCATTATCTAAACCTAACCACACAATAGATTATATTACATGGGATAATACACAAATTTATCACATGGATATATTTGCTAAGAATTGGCTATTATGTGTTAAATATGTCATTCATTTTCATCTCCTAACTCTGATTATTGCAACTGTTCACTGTAATGGGCCAGAAAATTGTGACATGTCAAAAACGTATGTATGCAAATGAAAGAATTTCAGCACAGGTGTGAACTTCCATTTCATTCCTGATCTATAGAAAAAGCCTTATTTCTAATTCTAATTTTAGCTCATTAGAGACTTATTGAGATGGAAATGTTTGTTTCATTAATCAGCAACAAAAAGGAAACAAATGTTACAAGTCTTCTAATCACATAACCAACCATGATTTACAACATTGGGTCTTTCTTTCAAATCAGTTTTCTTGGTGAGGTCTTAAAGGTATTTTATTTCAGTACTGTTTCTTATGACGGTGTACAATTATACCTATGGTACCATAAAGCATGAAGCAATGTTAGAATTGTTGTTTGTTTGTCCTTAGGTTGTCTACCAATGGTTTCTACTTCAAAAAAAGGGAACAGGACATCCTACTACGACGAATTATCACAGAACAGATCACACTGTAAGTAATGTTTCCTTACAAATCATAGAAACCTAGAAACTCATTGTTATCATCGGATACAGTGTGATTCATTTACTCGTTATTCATTTTGAAAAGCTTAAGTGTAGTTTTGATTTCCAGATTGAGATTTTGATAAATAAATATATGTCTTTATGAGAAAAAAGTATGCGCTAGAACCTACCATCTATTTAGCAATAAGTTTGTGTCTAGTATTAAGCCAACTCACATCTGTTGCATTTTCAGTAAAAAATACTATTGCAATAGATCATAATAGAAAATACAGAACATGCTATGACCACTGCCAGACATTACTTGAATGTGTTGTTACCCACTGTCACACATTACCTGTGTTGTTACCCACTGTCATGCATCACCTGTGTGGTTACCCACTGTCATGCATCACCTGTGTTGTTACCCATGGTCACACATCACCTGTGTTGTTACTCACTGTCACGCATCACCTGTGTTGTTACCCATGGTCACACATCACCTGTCTTGTTACCCTCGGTCACGCATCACCTGTCTTGTTACTCACTGCCAGAAATCTTTGGCGTGTGTTGTTTCCTCCTATCATACATGACCTGTGTCGATACTTACTGTCTCATATCATCACCCAGAGACGGGTAGACATTTACTGCCTTGTTACATTATCTACATCAACTACATCCACAACAATCAAACCTGGATATGTTACAGAATAAATGTGATACATGTGTATTTTCTCCACAGTAACGACAGAGAAGAAGCAGTGAAGTTTCTATTGGAAAATGAAGCAGACCCGAGTCCTCGATATCCTGGAGGAAATACGTAAGTATTTCTTTGTTAGATTTTACACTTATGGTTATCTGAATGGAAGTGATATGTCTGCAATCAGAGACCTGTAAAATAGATACAGGTAAGAGTGACACGTATCTTATGTTACCTGTCAAGTGACAATTGTAAAGAAATATATTGGTACATTATCTTTAGTCACTGAAAGAAACAGACAATGAAATAAGAAATCTCAGCAGAAAATTGTCACTGTGACCTGTTATATTCTTGTTAGGTGTCTACATTATGCTGCTGGCCTGACTGGATCATCAGAGGTCCTTGAGCTGTTGCTTGACCATGGAGCAGAGGTGGACCCAGTTGATGACAATGGCTGCACGCCATTGTTTTTTGCCACGCAAGCTAACAACCAGGTTGCTGCTTGTGTCCTCATAGAGCAGAATGCCAATGTCAGACATAAAAATAGCCAGGGTATGTCGTCCTACTAACTGATCAGTTAAAGAAAGTGATTTAAATCAGAAAGATACCACGTAAATACAATTTTACAGGTGGATTTTAAATCCAAACCATGAACCTTGAAATTGAAAATACATGCTTATAATTATGTACTTAATACAAAAGTCGTGTCCTATGTATTTTGGTTCTCTCAGGTTTGACAGCATTTGATTACATCGTTGATTTTGAGGAGTGGATTGAGTGTGGATACTTCACAGATGAGATCAATGCCAGACTCAAAGGTAAGTTAAAGCCCCCCTCATTGTCTGTCATCGTTATTACTTTTCAATTCTAGGGATTGAACCTAGAACTGCTGGTTTACTAGTAAATGCCTCCACAATGAATGAATCCCAGGACCTACTTACTAGACTAATATACTGATGTAGGGGGTGGAAGGCGGCTAATCTGTCAGAAGTTTGATTATTTCATGCTTTTTATTTTATATTGCATAAATTATCTTTTATTAATTTCTACGCCTATGTCATTAATAAATCGTAATTCAGTTAGATTTGTTACTTATTTGTTTTAAGATATAACAAGGTACAGCCTCAGTTATAGTGAATAAAATTATTGTGACCTGCAATCTGAATTATACTTGTAGCTTACAGTCTGAAGCATGCCAGAGACCTTATCAGGGCTATATCAAAGAAGGTGAAACCCAACCAACTTCATAGTTTCCAGGATATGAGGATGAGATCAGGACTGTCCACACGTTCGTTCCAACCCACTACCAGCAACACGATCTCTAACTCTCATTTCTCTAGCCAGCTTCCCTCTATCCGCCGAGCTTCAGTCTCTACTGGCTACTTCAAAAATTGATCATTTCCCAAACTGACCTCCTGCTGGTGTTTTCCTTATTTGACCTCTAGCTGGTGACAATCTCCAAGACAGACCAGGAACTATGTTTTCCTTAGAGATAAACAACAGCTTGTGATGCTCTCAAGCGATACTATGGTTTGATAAATTTCAAAACTGAATAAAAAATTCAAAAGGAATGAGGATACAGTGATATTGGAAATAAACACTGAATTACAACTAATCCAAATTGACTGAGACATTTCAGGACTGATGTTGGATTCTTAGACAAAGATAACTCGCAGTGAATTTAGAGTTGTGTACTGATCTAGTTTTCAGCCCACTGGAGGACCTTGTATTAACCTCAATAAATACACAGCCAAACATGATATATATAATGTCATATAAGTACGCTGTTATCAGTGTTATAAAAGCTTGTAACTTTCAGTATTATTTGTGTGATATGACCTAGTATGACCTAGCTGAGCTGGCTAAAGGTTGTCATTGTTTCTATTGTGATGTCAAAACGTCATGGTGTCATATGCACAGTGACGTCACCAAAGAAAGAAATAGTGAGAATATCACAGATTTAGATTGTATGTCAGTCAAATAAAATACTTTTTTAACAAGTTTTACACAAGTATCCAAGCTATGTGATAGAAAAATGTTTCCATATCATGAGATTTATAAAACTTGTCATGAAAGTTTTCATTTTACCTTGTCAGAGGCACAGTAAAAAGAAAACAGACTTGTTCAACAAAGACCCAGAATTATAGATGTACAGTGGGTGTAGACTGCTGATGTATTCTATTTTTACTTTTGTAGAGGAATATTGTTAAGAATGTGCCAATGTTTTTATAGAATTAGTCAATTTTTGTTGATGTTTTTGCTAGAATTTCTATATTTTTCGTTCACAGTATTAAATCACTGGAAAGATACATATATATCTATTAAATTATGTATTTGTTGTTAAGAGGTATATTTCTAGGTAGAATTTTTTGGGAGTAGTATTTATGTCTTTTTTTATTGTTACTTACTTGACTTTATCAAAAAGAAAAAAATGTTGACTTGATTAATTATTATTGATGCGTTCCTTTTTACTCTGGAAAGTGAATTAAGAGTTGACTGTAGATGGTCAGTATATTAAACAAACTCTTATTTGAGTGTTCACATTTTCTACTTTTTACTTGTAATTTTCATTAAAATTTAGTGTACCAAGTGAATGTAATGTACTGGAAGGCAGAATGTAACATACTTACCTTGGTATGAGTTAGATTAAAAAAAAACAAGAAAACTTGTCGGATACCAGAAATGAAAGTGTGTGGTTGTTACAGTGAATTATTACTATATTTATATAGTAAATGTTTTCTGACAGATCTGGTCAGATACGACAGGATGTCATTTAAAGTCAGTGGTTGATAGGGCCAGGTTTTACTATAGGGGAGTATATTTATCTACTGGAGCAGCTTGATTTTCATGTTTTCCTCAGCTTTATACTCTTCTATTTAAGTTATGTGATATATAACCTAGTGTTCTGTCCAGTATTCAGAAAATGTCTTTTCGAGATGACCAATGTTATAACTGAAATAAATAAATTAAAATGAAGCTTTAAGAAATGAATGTTGGACATTGTTCAGATGCTTGTTTATAACATTAATGCTTTGTTTTAATCACAAAATTGTTGCCTCTTTTCTTTATATTTTTATATTTGTTTTCTTATCGATCATTTATTTCACCTGTTAAACATAATGATTTTATTACATTCATCAATTGTTTATATTTGTTATCAATTTGTTGGTTCTTTATCTCAGTCTATTGTATACTGGTGCCACTGTGATGTATTTGTTTATTGTTTATTACGTATGATCACTCTACTGATGAGATAAAAGTGACTTTCCTTTGATTAATCAGCTGTCACTATCAGGTAATCAGTCAGCTGTGACTTTCTCCTGATGAATCAACTGTCACTATCAGGTAATCAGTCAGCTGTGACTTTCTTCTAATTAACTGTCACTATCAGGTAATCAGTCAGCTGTGACTTTCTTCTAATTAACTGTCACTATCAGGTAATCAGTCAGCTGTGACTTTCTTCTAATTAACTGTCACTATCAGGTAATCAGTCAGCTGCGACTTTCTTCTAATTAACTGTCACTATCAGCTGTCACTATCAGGTAATCAGTCAGCTGTGACTTTCTTCTAATCAGCTGTCACTATCAGGTAATCAGTCAGCTGTGACTTTCTTCTAATCAACTGTCACTATCAGGTAATCAGTCAGCTGTGACTTTCTTCTAATCAGCTGTCACTATCAGGTAATCAGTCAGCTGTGACTTTCTTCTAATCAGCTGTCACTATCAGGTAATCAGTCAGCTGTGACTTTCTTCTAATCAGCTGTCACTATCAGGTAATCAGTCAGCTGTGACTTTCTTCTAATCAGCTGTCACTATCAGGTAATCAGTCAGCTGTGACTTTCTTCTAATCAGCTGTCACTATCAGGTAATCAGTCAGCTGTGACTTTCTTCTAATCAACTGTCACTATCAGGTAATCAGTCAGCTGTGACTTTCTTCTAATCAACTGTCACTATCAGGTAATCAGTCAGCTGTGACTTTCTTCTAATCAACTGTCACTATCAGGTAATCAGTCAGCTGTGACTTTCTTCTAATCAACTGTCACTATCAGGTAATCAGTCAGACAATTGACTTTCCTCTGATGAATCAACTGTGACATTACAGATAATTGGTCATCTACAGATAAGTAAAATATGACTATCAAGTAATCAGTCAGCTAATCAGTTAACAGTAATTATCTGCAGATGAACCATCTGTCACTTTGTTCAGATATATACACCGTGACACTCATCTAATCAGTTAGCTGCCACTTTCAGCGAATCAGTCAATTGTGACTTTCTGTTCATGTGTCAATAAACTGAAAGTTTAACAGTTATTGCTGATTGATGAGCTTCGTATATAATTGAACTGATAAACCTAATGTCAGTTGACTGTGACCAGCTGACAATATCTGTTGAAATTTGATATTAATCAATTGTAACTATCTATGCATTCACGGAACAACTGGTATAATCAGTTATATGTGACTTTCTGTCCTTAATTTACCAGTATAATCAATCAACTATAACTATCTCATAACAAGTTAAACCATATAACTAACCAAGTGTTATCATGTGGTTTTGATTAAATGTTAATCAGCCGTGATTTGACAAACAATCTGAAGTAAATCTGTTAGTTTATCTTCCGAATCATATTTAAAAATCTGTGATTTATTTGTTATAATAACATATCTTACACTTGTATCCTGGTAATTCTCTATCCTGTAGAACTGACTCAGAAAATATAATATCTTTGTACTTTAATTTTTTATTATAGTATTGACTCACTATATATTATTTAAGGTAGACTTTAATCCATTGTAACGTAGTAGCTTTAGATAAAATAACACAATCTTTTCATGGCATGTGCAATTTGTGTGTTCCATTGTAGACTTCAACAAACCGAGTTTTTGTTCATAAAACACTGAAGAAATGAATTTGATACTTTATAGGTAGTCTATAGCCATTCTATACTATCATTGGTGTCTGATTTTGTAGCAAGACTTCAGACATTGTTTGCACTCTGAGGTCTGTACAGGTACGCTGCTGTTCTGCAATTTTTTTTCTCACTGATTTGCTCAAAAAAGACACATTTCAAATGTGGTTCAAGTCTGAGAACTGTAATGCTCTGAAGTCAGGATTTTTTTTCGACAATGCCAATTTTTAGTTCTTTTTAACAATAGAGTGTTTAGGGCTGTGGTATGTGTATATAAGAAAGCTTTTATGTTACAAACATTTTTTACAATATTACCAAGCAGCAACAATTGTTACAGTTTGGGAGAAAATAAACATTTTTTTTATTATTATATTCTGTTATCAAATAATTAAAACTTCTGTACACACATCCATTGTAAATAAATAATATCAGTGAATTTTCTGGGGCAGGTGTATATTGCTCTGCCCCAGCCATATGCTTGCTTTTTTAATATCATATTTTTCTACTTTACCCAAAACTAATGGTCATTATCATGGACTTCTTGGGTGTGTAATTATTATCCAAATAGTTGTGTAGGTTTCAACAATGGGAGGGAAGCTTTCCAATTATTGGTAAATGTTTGAAAATTATATACAGAGTTGTTCATAACTATCTAAGGATTTTATTACCAATATACTGGTGTATAAAAACAATTACTGGGTGATTTGGGAAATAATGGGTGATTTGGGAAATAATGGGTGATTTGGTTTAAACAATTCAAAGTATATGAACTGGGTATATATTATCACAAATGCAGATTTAAAATGACATGGTTGTTTTATGTTAAATATTTCCAGGTAGATTTAAACACATTTATTGTTCAGTAACAGACATGATATGGTTGTATTAACAATACATTGACAATATGCTTAAAACAGGTGTTCAACTTCATGTCCTGACAGGTATTTGCTCACTTTGCAGTTTATATATTACACACAGTATTTAAACTATATTTGCATTAAAATTAGTCACTGGAGCACGGTCATTAAAATTTTGAAATAAAACTTAATTGTGTTATTTTTGTTTATATTTATGTAAAGGATCTGCACTATCCTCAGAGTAAATTAGTGTTGTAAACTTTCCTCATTTAAGGACAGGGATTAATTAGTATGGTGAGGTCACGATTCCAAGTACCGAGTAGCTCAGTCGGTAGAGCATTAATCAGAATTCACAACCTCAGGATGATACCCATCACCACATCATAGGTTATCTGGGCAATTACAAAGTTAATAGAAAGTTGAAAAGGAATAATATCAAATGAAAAAGTGAAAGATCACATCTCAATGGTTGAAAGATGAACAATCAGGACATTATAAAAGTTGTGATATGCGAATAGCAAAAGTTAATATGCACTTTGGCTTTCTTTGCACAAAGTTTTGTAGTTTGGATGGAATACAAGTGAATAAGGTGAATTTAAATGATCTGATAGTAACCTCAAGTGTGTGGTTCCATGGGACAGCTTGTGTTCTTAGGAAGCTCAGACCATCCTGTGCTGTGATAGCTGTGTCTTTGGTCAAGACACTTTCCTCTGATGGCATGTGATGTGCCTCTGCATGATATTCAATGAGATAATCACCAGCTACTAAGCAGGAGACCTGCCTTCACATGATCTAAGCTGTTCATGTCAATAAACCTAGCAAACAAAACCAGAATGATAGTGAGAAGTTTAAGATAAAGGTATAGAGTATCTGTCCCCAATGATGTCTGAAACATTGACATTCCCATTGCTACACATGGAAACATGTGTAAAGACTAATACAACATTAGTCCTTGTATGGCTATACATTCTATCCAAACTTTATTTACCAATACTGCTGTGAGCAGGCTTGACTTGGAATGTAAAACAAATGAAAACACACAATCTTTTTTTCTAAAAAAACTATATTCATATTTTACTATTTTGAACTTGCCTGCTGTCTAGCAAAGCATTACAGTAAAATGTTATACTGATCATAGTTACACACACTCAGACCCTCAGACACATATAAACCAGGTATTGTTTTCATCTGCGATACATCACAAGGATGTGTCCAGATTATTGATAGATTACAAAACATTTTCTTACCCTACAATTATCAATCAAATAAGGTAGCACATTACAATCCATTCATAGGTAGACATTGGCACCTGTAATGACTAAATGCAGTATATTGAAAATCATTTTTTTTGTGTGGTATTCAAAATTTTTGAATTCAACTTGTTAAGTCTTTTATCTTATTCTCTTAATACAATTTGAAAACTATCATTCCCCTAAGGTACATTAATCATAGATATCCTCACCAGTAAGCTGTGTTTACTCAAGTGGAAGTCATGTATGATAGGAGAAGAGTAATGAAAAATGCCCTATCCCTAGTGGGGTTCAAACTAGCGACTCTTGGGTCTCCAGCCAAATACTCTCAGTCAGGGAAATTCCCACTAGCTGAAGCTAGCAAGGTGACCTGCCCTCTTCTACACATATACTTGTTGCTATAGTGTTTATCTGAAGTGGAGCCATTGTAAACAGCAATCTAAGTGTGCCCTACATATGTAATGATTGCAGCTTAAGCTCTCACAAAAGGAATAAACTTCAGCTGTTTAACAATTTGTGAAAAAATGCAAAAAGGGCATAAAGGAAACATAGTCAGAAAAAAGTCCAATGATTTTACCAACAACACTTCATGAAATCTTGACACATGTTGTCATGAAGAGATTCTATCTTAAGAAATTTAAACATACAGAAAAGCAACCTTACTTCAGTCTACACCTAATATTCCAGCAGTGTATACACAACATATACCTTGTAATATCTAGTTTATTTAGTAAAACTGATCGGCATTTTTCCTGAAGCCATACCATTACCATGATGCTATGCTATAGGAGATGCCAATGAAAATACTAGGTCATCATTTAATCTGTTACCATATTAAAAGGATGTAGAAATACAAAGTTAACAGATGTGGAAGTTCCACAAAAGTGGTGACCAGCAGGTAAGATAAAAGGATGGATTTTTAACATGTGTACAAGCATGATATCAACAAGCAATGAATCTAAATACAATGAAATAGTATGACATGTGTATATGTAATACAATGAAATAGTATGATATGTGTGTATGTAATACAATGAAATAGTATGATATTTGTGTATGTAATACAATGAAACAGTATGATATTTGTGTATGTAATACAATGAAACAGTATGATATTTGTGTATGTAATACAATGAAACAGTATGATATGTGTGTATGTAATACAATGAAACAGTATGATATTTGTGTATGTAATACAATGAAACAGTATGATATTTGTGTATGTAATACAATGAAACAGTATGATATTTGTGTATGTAATACAATGAAACAGTATGATATGTGTGTATGTAATAAAGTTATCTCATCAACAGGATAGTCCATACTGACATTTACATGAAACTGAATTATACAAGTCTCAAAAAAAAAAAATTTCACTTGTCAACACTACATTTTTCAAAACATCTGATTACAGCCTCAATATCCAAAGGTTCTACTTTCATTTACCCAGCTTCTCTGTATGTTTGGATTATGGCTTGACAAAATTGAAGGCTCTTGGTACAAGCCATTCTGCAGGTGATAAAAGTTTGTCTAAAAAACTTGACAGAACCATGAACCTATGACCTCTTTGGTAAAGAAAACAAAATATAATGTGACTTTTAAGTAAATTGGTAGGCATTGATAATTTGGTCATTTTTTGTGTTTAGGACCTAACATATTTCAAGGTTGCACAGATTGACCAGATAATAGATGTGAGACAATCCTTTATCATAATATGCTACTGACCTAGCATTGACACACTTAATAGTATCACTTATCATGGTTAAATTGCTGTTGTCACAGTAACAACACTAGTGTATGCTTGTTCAGTTCTTTGATTGTTTGACTATCTGAAAACATGTTAGCAGCATAGAGTTACTGGCCAGAAAGCAGAGTGGCACACCAGCATTGAGTTACTGGCCAGAAGGCAGAGTGGCACACCAGCATGGAGTTACTGGCCAAAAGGCAGAGTGGCACACCAGCACTGACTAGCCAGAAGGCAAAGTGGCACACCAGCACTGAGATACTAGCCAGAAGGCAAAGTGGCACCCCAGCACAGAGTTACTGGTCAGAAGGCTGAGTGGCACACCAGTACACACTGGCTATGAGTTAAGAATGGCACACCAGCAATAACTACTAGCCATAAGGCTGAGTGGCACACACACATAGAAATATTCTATCTGTCATAATGTGAAAATATCTGCTTAACACATTGCACTTGTCAATCATCCAATTATTTTTTAGAACATCACATCAGTATCATTGCATTTTACGATCAAAAGTCTGTGTAATATTGCTTGATCCTGAAATATTTCATTGTCCTCTTCAACCAGTTATTGTCATCAAAAGCTGTTTCTGTTACATTGCCCCTTCACTAACATTTTTTCCAATCTGATTTTAACCAAAATCAGAAATGGCTGACGGTGGTCAGTTTGAATAATTCAAATATAGAATGAACTGCTGACCATAAACTTGTTATAAAAGATCACAGTAATCTTTCACATCCAGAAACTGATGACTGACTTTGTATAAGGGGTCACTTTGACGACTTCTTGGTAATACTGCCGTGGGCGGGGATGACTGTTGATTTGGTCCCAGTAGCAGTTAGATTAATCACAGCTGGATTGATCATTCCTGGTATGTTGATGACGCTGGGTTGAGCATCCCATTTACTCTTTCTCTTCTTTTCATCTGAATAACAAAAACAATATCTTAACTGTAAAAAAGAACACTAGCTGGTATTACGAATATTTAATTTCATTTGTACACTAACAGTTTTGTAATATCTAAAAAAACACACCAATATGAGAAATTTAGTATTGGACCTTACAGAAAGTCAGGAATATAAAGCAGAAAGTCTGGTAAAATACAGTGGTCTATAAATATATTCATCCTGGAGGCTACAGTTCTGGGATCTACATTGTGTAATCAACATCAAAGGCTGATACAAACTGCTTATACAATACCTGATGGTCCATCTGAGGAGGGTTTCTTTGTACCAACCACAAATTCAATCTACAATTGAAAATAAAAGTTTCACAATGACAAAATTTCTGAATCAATTTTACCACAATTATTGACAATACCAATACAGTCACTTTATTAACAATACTGTAGTAAAATAATTTACAATGATCAGACAGATTCATAAGTTTGTGAAAATGTAGAACAATAAAGATTTGTTACGTTTCACTTTGTACTGCAATATTAACCTTCCAATTTAATTTTCAATACAACTTTTTAAATTGATCCTTTTTTAATATGATAAAACACAACATTTAGTATAGTTGCTCAAAACAGAAGTTAAGACTTCATCTTCTGATTGTCATGAAAGTGACATTTTATATTTTCCTTTTTCTAAAGAAAGCAAGAAAGGGTTGTATAATCATACTACTTTTTTGAAAGTCAGCATTCGATATCATTATCATCAAGTGTATTTTATCAAAGCGACAAGTGTTTATCATGATATGTGTTGAAGCTAAAATGTATCATTACAGCCCTAAAAGTAGACAATCAAGCTTTAAAAGATAATTTAAAAATTATTACATGTATACAATTGTAAAGTTTATAAGAACAGGATTTCCTCTCATGTACGTGACACTATAGTTCTACACTGTCAGTATACACATCAACAGATTTGTATACCTATATCTATCACATATTTGGCCTGTTGGGCCATGTCATCATATCGACATATGTAATAACAGTATTGTGGTGACAGAAATATGGAATTAATTGGACTTGTTAATTAAGTTCATATTATATCAACACTCATGCAAGATCATATTTATATATATGTATATTATATATAGCTATGAAGAAGAGTACTTCAAAGAAAGGAAGCATAGTAGATATGTGTATCTGTTATAGAAAACCTTGTCAGTATACCTTTGTTCTGTCCTTCTTTTCCTTTTCTCTTTTATTTACTTCAATTGTCTGAGCTTTATCTGAAATTCATAAAATATTTTATTATCACTTGCCATATCCCAAAATCCTAAATATATAGGATAAGTTTTGAGAGAGAATACATGTTCATAACTCAGAGCTGGATGTAGTGACTTTACATTGATGAGAAAGCTGACAAACCAGCATCTGAATATTGTGGAGTAAAATGTACTGTTTTGGGCGTATCTGTTTATTGAACGAACTGTAATTAATTAAGTATATGAGACCAATTAACTGCAAAATTTGCAAAGAAGATAAATAGTAAAGAGTTCTATAATGACTCTAGATCACAAACACAGAAATCAATTGTAATTCCTCATGTAAAGCTGTTTAGAAGTAATTTACAATTAGCAAACTTGAGAGGCTATTATTGGCAGTAGTCAAAATAGAAAATACAAGTAAACCTGTATCAAAAGCACAGATTCTAAGCTTCTAGTAAACATTTCTCTAATACTTGTCGCATGATATTTTATTCCTCTTGTATTATCATTTTTTAACATCCTAACAGTGA